ATCTTTCTAAAAGCATGCCATCATATCTACAATTCTGTAAGGATGTGGTCTTTGCTGGATCAGAACCGGCTGTGGACTTTTTTCACGAGGAGAAAACTTTAATTGACAAGCTTTGGAATTATTATCAAGAAGAAAAGGTAAGTTATCAGCTATGATTATATGTTATGTTGCAAATTGAAAGAAATAGTATGAAAATACTTTTAAATGGGTTTTCTGCACTCCGGAACAAAGGTCTAAGTCTGACTTCTATTATGCAATTTTAAAACATTAGAAGCTATAATTAGGTATTTGTTCAGTAGCTGATGAACACTTATGTTGTTCTGGCTGAAAACAGTCTTTTTTATTCGTTCCCTCTCATTTTTGGGTCTAATTTTTTGTCCTTCCCATCACGTCTAGAACTTGTGGGTCAAAATCCTTTGCTGTTCTTGATAAGTGTGACACAAACTTTATGAGTGAAACAGTTTTTAAGTTAGAAAATACTACTTTTATGTTTGAATTATCATTGCCTGTGTTGATTTCAGGATTCTCAACCAGCAGCAGGGGTGTGACAGCGACATAGCAGTGCCGACATCATGTATAAAGCGAACAAAAAGGTTCGAGATAATGAATATCATTCTAGTCCCTCTCCTGATGGAAGGACTTCTCATGAGGATATTTCGTCTCAAAGACACTCAGATGTTGACAATTCATCCATGACTTCAGAGGAACATAAAAATCCAGAACCCAGTGACAAAGGTTCAGCAGAGACCGATGAACATAGAGCAATTAGATTGATGAAGAAAAACATGGAGGAGAACAGGTTCTGTTATATCCCACCAAGAGTTAAGTTGAGGAGATTGGATTACCTTCAATATGTAAGGAAGAGAGATGAAGGCGTCATAACATATGTTGCTCATGCTGATTACTATATCCTACTTCGAGCTTGTGCCATGGTTGCCGAGGTCGACATGCGGATTATGCATGTTGGGGTACTGGGTATGGAGAGGAGATTAGATTGGTTGGAAAAAAGAATTGATCACTGCTTACATCCAACTCCTAGTACTACTACATGTAAATTTTGTAGTGATGAACCAGAACAAGCTACAGATCATACAATAGAACTTCCAAATCCGAGTCTATTATAAATTTCTCCATTTTCCATTTTAGCTTTCAAGTTTTAAATCAATTTCAAAGTGTTAAAACTTACAGTAGTGTTCTCTACTCTTCCTTGCTGAAGAAATTAAACCATTTGATCTTTGTCATCAAGACTTGTGGATAGGATCAGGTCCTCTTGGGAATCTTTGTTTGCGATTCGGATCTAATGTGTAGTTTCCAACTTCAGGTTATTTTTTCCAGCACACAAGGCAAGCAAACTTTTAATGGCATTATTTAAACATATTTTAATGGCATCCAATGCCGTTTACTTTAGAAACTTAGATACACGATATTAATTATTGGGTTTGCCTCTGTTTTTCTGAAATTGAGGAAACTTTTGTTGATAAAAGAAATAAGGAAACTTATGAAGATCTTCCACCGTATTGGTTGGTTAAATAGAAGAAAACAAAGAATTGCAGAAATGAGTGGGTGGCTGATTGGCTTGGAATTCCCACTGAGTGAGGCAATGAATCATTCTCACATTGCAAGAACGTGTGGACCATTGGCTCAAAAATCAATATCTTACAAAATGACAAACTAAGGCTATCAATTTCATCCCACCTTCGGTTGGTAGTTCACTGCCACCACTAACTCCTTACTGATTCCTCAATGCCATCTGAAGTTTTTCTAAACCTATAATTTATATTTATTTAAAATCTTTTTAATATCATTCCTCGTTCAATCAATTTTATCGATAATTAAAAAAATTATCATTTTAAGCTTTTGGAAATATTTTATTAATTAAAACATCCAGTAATACACTGTTACTACAAATCAAAACATCATGTGATTGGTTCCACCAAATCTTTGAAAAAGGATTACCTCGTAGACATAATCTCACTGCCAGATGTATTAACATGATGTGTATGAATTAATTAAGTAATGTGGTCCAATCAGAAACGTCCTAGACATAGAATGTTAACGCATTGTTTCCATTTCACTTCATTGTATATGATAAAAAGGATTGATAGGCCAAGTTTGATGGGATGTAAGCCAATTGATTAAGCAGATAGAATAAATCAACACCAACACCAAAAATGTATATTTATATAGAGGCGATGGACCCAATCTTGAAAGTGTCATAATATAATACACATAATTGTCCTGTATGAACCAAACCCTCCATTTGCCTATTCTGCTGCTCCCATCTAAACCAAATCAAACTTTTGACATTAGTTATTTATTTGTGGCCTTCTGTCTTTGGACATGCATTTCCCTACATGTTACTTCTCTCTTCTTCGTTGTGCATAGATTTTATTTAAATTATAATATGTCAAGATCTAAATTTATTACTAATATCCAAAAAAAAACACCGACATTGTATTGGAAAGTGGAGCTCATCCATAAAGTTTATTAATCTATTTTGATATATTGTATGGGAACATTGAAAGTAAACTATACATTAAATATTCCAAGGTATCAATAAATCTAAAAATATATGTTTTTGTTAACAATTATTAGAGTATGTGATTAAACTTTTTCATTTTATGCATGTTATATAATCTATTTTTACGTAATATTATATTTATGATGTTATCATAAAATTTATTATATTAATAGTTTATAGTTATAAGTGTTGATAATTTTACCCTAATTTTTTCTCAAGCATCCTTTGTTTCTTTTCTTTTAGTTTTATTAATCGGTGATGGCATTAACACCAATGTTGGTTGTCATCTGTTTTTTTTCAACTATTTTCTTATATCACAATTATTTTTTAAATTTCTAATAACTCTACCTTCCTGACACATTTTTCTTTGTCTTTATATTATGTTTTTCTTTATCTTTTGACACGTTTTCGATCTTTTGTATCGAGCGTTTGATCATTATTTTTTGTTTAATTTTCTCATAGTTCAATTTTACATCGTCTCAATTGATCAAGATAATGCTTTTGTTATCTTGCTTATCTTCCCTATTTTGGATCTCATATTGAATTTAGATATGTGGTTTATGTTTAGAGATAATATTCTCACGATGGTTAACTCTGATTTCCGATTATCAATGGTCTTTTTAGTAATTTCATAATCTATTGTTGTTCGTTTGTCGATGCAGTCAAATCCATTCATATTTATTTTTTGTTTGAGTTTTTTGAATGAATTTTTAATCTTTTCCTTGTATGGTCGTGTATGATTTCAAGCAGGTAGATTTTTATGTCTATAATTATAAGAAATGTATTAATTATGAATTATTTTACACTTATAATTGTAAAAATTTGTTATAATTTTATTTTTTTCTTTTAATAAAATTAGTCGTTTCTTTCTGCATAAAAAAGTGTTGGTTTTTTAGAGAAAAAAACTATATTTGAATATTAAAAGAGCCATTTTTTTTGGTTTAATACATGTAAATGGGCCTCTTAGAAGCCCGTTATATCGGCTCTAATTATCTCCTCAGCTTCCTTAGGGTAAATGTACAGAAAAACAGAATCTTCTTGTTGGTTCCTCATTTGCTTGGCGATGATGTCTGCGACTCGGTTGGCCTCCCTTGGTATGTTCTGAATCTTTACTTCCCAATTCCTTTTGAGCAGATTGTCTATGTGTTGAAGTATTGTTAGTTGTTTGTGTTCGGTCGATCTATTGTTTATCAGTTTTACTACTTCCTTATTATCCGATTCCAGTATAACTTTTCTTTCTCCTTTTATCCTGCTATTTTTAAACCTTCATGAATTCTCCAGAGTTCTGCTTCCAATAAGGTACAAATACCTATTTTCCTATCAAATCCCCAGAGCCAATTACCTTCATAGTCTCTAGCTACTATTCCACATGATGCATCTCCATCATTCTGATTTCTTGTTTCATCAGTGTTAATTTTACAATAACTAATCTCTAATTTTTGCCATCTATATTGGACATTCTTTCTAGTTTGATTAATTCCAATCTTTAGGGTTTTCGAATTTTCAACCTCATGAGTAAGAGTTATTATTAAAGGAAAGAGTCTACAACCCTAAATATAAAGTATAAAAAAACCCATATTAATAGTTTATAATTTCTGGATTCTAATATATTTTTGGTATCATAATATCTCAACAAACTAAATCAAACAAATTGAGCAGTTAAGTTCCCCAGCTTCAATTGCTTACCACTCAAGTTGTCGCACATTTGTCGCGATATGGATATCTTTTGATCAATTGTTAATGTCAACCGTCAGATTTTCTATCAATACTATCATCCTACGGACCAGAATTGTTTCCCATATATACTTGTCTCCACTTGACCATCTTCATCAATCACCGCCTCAATCTAGATCCTTTCCGTATGGGGGTGGGACCCAGTGCCTTATATCTTTCCACTCAATCCTCACCCTCCTTTCTTGGCCAGTGGGACCCATCCCACGCGCTTTTCGCACCCCGTTTTAATTTAACTCGGAATCGTTTTATTCAGGTCTAATGATGTTTTGAGCCCTTCAATTATTATTAATTTTGAAATTAAGTCTTTTCACTCAATATAATCCTCTATTTTTATAATACTATTAACATATTCTAGTTGATAACACTTTTAGTTGTTTTCATGAAAATGATAATATATTCTTTCATTGTTATTTCAGTATACAATCAGAAGCACGTAAAAAATTTAATTTAATTATGTTTAATCAAATAATAAATTTAAATCTAAACAAAATATTTGTTTTTTTAAACCATTACGTTACTAGAAACGACTAACAATATTATTATCTTGAATCAATTAATAATATTACAAAAGATAAAGAGATCAAGATTCGTCAAAATAAAAAATCAGAATAGAGGGACTAAAATCAAAATTAAGCCGCTTATTAATTACTATAACACGACACGACAGATGGAAAGACGGAAAAAGAGTTGAGTTTTCGGAGTCTTGGATGCTTTTATAGTAATCCCCGTTACCAAAAAGTGATTCTTGCTTTTACCCTTTTTCTTCTTTATAATTTTGTTTCACGATGATCGTTCTTCTTCGATTTTACTATAATTGAGATTTTTGAGACAGAGCAGTCTAGTGTTGTAAGTATTTTATCAACACGTCTCCTTCCCTTCCAAGCTCTCAATATCCCTTTTTTTAAGATATTCAACCACTGATTTCGTCTATTGATGCGATTGGTGAGTCATCTGACATTTCTTTTCTTTCGATCCATAATGGGGTTTATATTAATGACTGAATCGAGATGTTTAGTTAGTTTGGTTTAGCTTTCTTTCATCGAGATGTTTAGTTAGTTTGGTTTACTTTCTTTCTTTAGTTTTAATTGATCTGGAAAAAAATTAATTTGCAGGTTATTATTTTGAAAAATGGCACTGAAGAATCCAGGTGACAGTAGAACAAGGAGTTGGGTTCAAATATTTATCGTTTTTGGATTATGCTGTTTTTTCTACATATTAGGAGCTTGGCAAAGAAGTGGTTTCGGTAAAGGGGATAGCATAGCTTTAGAGATAACTAAACACGGTGCCGATTGCAATATAATTCCTTCCTTGAACTTCGAAACCCATCACGCCGGCGATGTTGGCAACGCCGATGAATCTGAAAAGCCCAAATCTTTTAAGCCATGCCCTCCTCGTTACGTCGATTACACGCCTTGCCAAGATCAGAAGCGTGCCATGACTTTCCCAAGGGACAACATGGTGTACCGCGAGAGGCATTGCCCCGGGGAGGAAGAAAAATTGCATTGTCTTGTTCCGGCACCGGAAGGATACGTAACCCCGTTTCCTTGGCCCAAGAGTCGGGATTATGTGCCTTATGCTAATGCTCCCTATAAGGCCTTGACGGTTGAGAAGGCGATTCAGAATTGGATCCAATATGAGGGTAATGTGTTTAGGTTCCCTGGTGGAGGAACGCAGTTCCCACAAGGGGCGGATAAGTACATCGATCAGCTCACCGACGTGATTCCGATTACTAACGGGACGGTTAGGACCGCACTCGATACCGGTTGTGGGGTATGTTTATGTTGTCATGCTCTTCAAAGTATTGTTTTTTAAGTTGATCTATTGATTTGTAATGGTAGAATGTATTTTTCTATATAAATCTTAGAATTGGTTAATTTTTTTTAGGTTGCAAGTTGGGGGGCATACCTTTGGAGTAGGAATGTCCTTACCATGTCATTTGCACCAAGAGATTCGCATGAAGCACAGGTTCAATTTTCTCTTGAAAGAGGTGTACCTGCTGTTATTGGTGTCCTTGGGACTATAAAGATGCCATATCCATCTAGAGCTTTTGATATGGCTCACTGTTCTCGTTGCTTGATTCCATGGGGAGCAAATGGTGAGTTATGTACTGAAATATGGGCGTTCCTATGTTTAAGCATAACTAGTATGGTATTTAAGTAGATTTCGGCCTTCGAGGCGTTGTTTAGTGAAGATTTTTCGTAGCGGAGGTCAAGTGATTGATGGATGTGTCTGATTGCAGATGGGATGTATCTGAAGGAGGTTGATCGTGTTCTTAGACCAGGTGGTTACTGGATACTTTCAGGTCCACCAATCAATTGGAGGAACAATTACAAAGCATGGCAGCGTCCCAAGGAGGAACTTGAGGAGGAACAACAAAGGATTGAGGATGCCGCCAAACTCCTTTGCTGGGAAAAGAAGCATGAGAAGGGTGAAATCGCCATTTGGCAAAAGAGAGTTAATGACGGTTCTTGCCGCGGTAGACAAGATGATTCTCAAGTTAATTTCTGCAAAGCCGGAGAGGCTAATGATGTCTGGTATGAGCTCTGCTTGAAACTTCTTGTAGTGTGTAATGTTTGGATGCTAATCAGTAATCATCTTCACACCAATTCATGATTATCATAGTTAATCTTGTTAATTGTTATAGAAATTTTCCCAACAGTGCAACCGATTAAAGTTTGAATCTTCAGATCATGTCTCATGCCTTGGAACCTGTATTTTCAGACATATTTACAGTTTTATGTTCCCAGTAATTAGTTCTTTTTGATCTGGAATTTCATTTTACATAGTCATCTTTTCTTGTGGTGGTGGCTAGGTACAAGAAGATGGATGAGTGCATTACTCCGTATCCAGATGTTAGTAGTCCCGATGAAGTTGCTGGAGGGGAACTGAAGCCGTTCCCAGAGAGGCTATATGCTGTCCCTCCTAGGATTGCTAGTGGAAGTGTACCTGGAGTTTCTGTTGAGACTTATCAAGAGGACAATAATATTTGGAAGAAACATGTTAGTGCCTATAAGAAAATCAATCGACTTATAGACTCCGGGAGGTATCGTAATATTTTGGATATGAATGCTGGGATGGGAGGATTTGCAGCAGCTCTCGACTCTCCGAAATTGTGGGTTATGAATGTGATGCCATCAGTAGCAGAGAAAGAGACCCTGGGTGTGATATATGAGCGAGGATTAATTGGCATATATCATGACTGGTAAGGATTCATAACGATGAATCATGAGTTTGCCTGGCTATGGTTATGCTTGAAGAAACTACCTCTGGTTCAGGTCTTATATAATACAATTGCTTACGTTATGCGACTCGTTCATTTTGTTGTCTTTCGTTGGTTCAGGTGTGAGGCTTTCTCCACATACCCAAGGACATATGATCTCATACACGCACATGGTCTATTCAGTTTGTACAAGGACAAGTAAGTATCCACTAATTACCTATTCTTTGGTATGAGCTCACCATTGTTAGGACTATTTGGCATTCTGTTTCTTGTCCTGAACTTTTATACATTTATTGGATGTATGCACAGATGTAATATAGAGGACATTCTATTGGAGATGGACCGGATTCTGCGTCCGGAAGGCGCAGTTATATTCCGTGATGAAGTTGACGTTCTAATTAAAGTGAAGAAGATAACAGCAGGGATGAGGTGGGACACTAAGATGGTAGACCATGAAGATGGTCCCTTGGTCCCTGAGAAGGTATTGGTTGCCGTTAAGCAATACTGGACAGTAGGGGGAAACACGACATACGTGGAGTGAGCGGAAGAGGATGGTAAACTTAAACAGTGGCAATGCACTCATACAAGTAAGTTGGTGGCGTGAATTTATGATTTCCGGTCTGAATTTTTTTGCGAGCAGGGTAGTTTCAGTGTAGGAGGCTGAACTATGGGATCAGCCTGTGTTCATTTGTATTAATTTATTTACAGACAGCTATGAAAGCTATAACTCCAAAGTTCTATGATTCTTGAATTAATCCGGTTTTTTGTCATAATCAAATTACCTCCTTTAAATTTATCTTAGGATGAGTAAAGGAAAAATGTATAATTTCCATGAAAATTTGGAAATAAATACAAACTATCAACTTATGAATTGGCAGACTACTGCAAATAGAGGACTCCACAAGCGTACATAAAACATAAATACCATACGAAAAATTCTGGGAATATTATATGTCTATTGATTGTAATGTAATTAATACATCAGCCAAAATTTAGCATAAAAATTTCCACAACTTATATCCCCCCATTTAAACACAATTCCAAGAAAAAATAAGGATGAAGAAAGAACACCCATATAAATACCTACTGTGTTAATAGAAAACGCTTCAACAAATTGTAAGCCAAATGTGTTTTGCTACTTCATATTATTAAACCTATTCCTCTGTGTGTGTTGCTGCAACTTCGAAAGAAAAATGGAATGGAATAAACTTTGAATGAAGGTTGTAAAAACAGATGAGATATCCACTCAATAAAATGTTCTATTGAAACAAGGGGAAATTACCATTAGCAAGAATCCGGACTTGTGTGTTGGAGGAGAAACCAATCATGTAAACCCCAGCAAATTTCATCTCCTAGCATCCCATCACCGCACAATTATAGACAGTTACCCAATCGCTTTCTGGATAGTAAGTCCCATTGTGGATGCCCTTCTCTCGGAACCCACGAATTGAGCTCTATAAAACTTAGACCTGAGGCGGTAGGACTGCCGATCACTATAAGGCGATCACCGCATGCTCTGAACGCAAGACCCCAACCATTCATTGAAACCGCTCTTTTGGGAAACCTTCCGATAGTAAACCATGAATTTCTCGCCTCGTCATACTTTCTTACTGCCATGTCAGCATGATCGGTCGCATAAAGTTGGTTGTTTACTACTACGGCAACCAGAGGGGGTGCCCCAGCTGCCGCAGGCATCTCAGCCTGCCCATCTGTCCCATTCCTTGGAGGAGACATGTTAGGAATTCGAGTCCACATTTTTAACTCTAAATCATACTCCTCCCCACAAGTGAGAACCGTAGCATCATTCCCCACTCCACCAGTTCCCTCAAGTACATAGAATTTCTTATCCATAAATGCCCCACTACACAGATTCCTCGGGGTATTCATGCTTGGGAGACTCTCCCACCTCTGAGTCACGGAATTGTACATTTTATTACCCTGAGAATCACAACCACCGACTATGGGTATGAATACTCGAAGCTTACCTCATCACAAATATCGCACTAAGGGTATGTTTTGTTTCCCGTAATTGGAATTACGGAATTGGTTTTCCCTGAATTCCCGTGTTTGTTTCACGTAATTCGTTTTTCGGAAAATGTTTTCCCGTGTTTGTTTCACGTAATTCATTTTCCGGAAAACGTTTTCCCGTGTTTGTTTCACGTAATTCGTTTTCCGGAATGTAATTTATTTTCCTAGTAACAGAATTTCCTTTGTGTTTTCTGTAAAATGACTTACGGATTCATTTTCCGTAAGTCATTTTCCAAACTTTTCACTTCAAAGCAAAAATACTCAAAATAATTTTATTTTATGAATTTAATAATAATAAAATATTTTAATATCATTTTCATCAAAATATTAATTATTAAAATATTTAAAATATATTTATTAATATTTATAATAATATAATATTATATATTTTTAATATTATATAAAATAATCAATTATATTATAATAATATAAGATATTATATTTTTATTTTAATAATATATAATAAATTTTTTATATATTTAATAATGAATAATATTATTTATATATTTCAATAATATTTTAGTAAAGATATTTAAAATATACTAATATTTTTAAAATATAATATAGCACTATTACTTTAATAAATAATTAATATAATTTATAATATTTTATTTCACTAAAATATACCAATACTAATATTTTTATTAATAAAATTACAAAAATAATATTTAATAATAAATAAATTATTTTAATATTTTAAAATAATAATATTAAGTTTTATGATAAATAATATTATTTATTATATTTAATATTTGTAATAAATAATTTTTAAAAAACTCTTCAACTAGTGGAAAAAATGTTTAAATAACATCTTCCAAACATCATAAAACGTTTTCTAGATATTTTCCAGAAATGTAATTCATTTTCCAGAAATGTAATTCATTTTCCAGAATTCAAATTCCAGTAATTCATTTTCTGAAAAACCAATTACAACTAAACAAACAGACCCTAAATTCATATCTCTATGGTACTGAAATTTGGTGTATTTGTGAATTGCTCTTTTTGTTATATTATATTATTTCGGTTTATTTATGGATTGTTATTTTAGAGTTTGGACTTTGAAATTGATCTACGCATTATTTGGATATTTTTTTTATTAAAATTGTTACTTTATATTTATATTAATATATATATATATATATATATATATATATATATATATATATATATAAATGTCTAAATTATACTCTTTTTCCTAAATTGGTGCCTAATTTTTTTTTGGATCAACTCAGTGTCAAACGTCACTAACGTTATCACTTTAGGTACCCGACCGTGGCGCCCGTTAAACCATTAAGTGACACGTGTCGCGTTCTGATAATTTTAAAATTTTTATTTAAAATAAAAAACTTAAAATTGTAACCACGAGACCCGACGAAACAAGGGACATTATGGGTGTCAAAAATGAAGGCGATGGCGATGGCGCTGGCACTGACGATGGTTGTGGTCGGAAAAGGAGATGGTAAGGTTAGAGTTTTTAGGGTTGATTTTAGGGATTTGATATATTTTTTATAATTTTAGAAATTTTTTGGTATTTTTAATATAATATTTTTTTTAATTTTTTTTAAAAAAAATAAAATTTCTAAAACTACCAAAACGTAACACATGTCACTTAATGGAAAAATTTGATAAGTATTACGGTTGACCACCTAAAGTGATAATGTTTGTAATGTTATACACCTTCATTAAATCAAAAACAATTTAGATATTAATTTAAGAAAAGGAATATGATTTGAATACTTTTTCTTTTATATATTAAGCCTATTAGGCTGTTATATAATATCACAGGATTAACCGACTCTATTTTGGTCGTGAGAAGCAGAATTTGATGTTTTAGTGTAATAGTGTGTGACTCAAAATCGGTTTGATAGGGGGATGGGCCTACGACGATATGGGGAATCATATCATACTCAAAATTCACATGTAATGCATGAGAAAGCTGTAAATTGGAGACACCGACAGTGACTCTCCATCTAAACTAACCACTTCCTCTCTCTCTGCACTCACAAAGCACATCCTTTGTTTTTAATTCACTAAAAAAACATTACATGTTTTTGACAAACCAAACTGTGATTTTACTTCTTTCCAACCCATTACTCTACACCTACAACATTGCTTTTTGTTCTTGTAGTAGGCGTACTTACAATTCACAGCCTAACTTTGTCACATCCCGAGATCAAAAACATACGAGTTCCGCTTATTATATACAAATGATCAGCCATTTGGATGTAGATGCCCATTGTCCTTGCTACTGGCTACTCATGCGTGCTTACAATTGACACCCTAAATTTCTCACATGCCTTCCATTATTACAACAAAAACATATGTTCCAGAAATTACGAGAAAATTACTTAATCTCTCTCTCATACATACATTTTTTAAGGAAAATATTTATATCATTTTCTATCTTTTTCCTTTCCTCCATATATATGTATACGCATAAATAAGGCCATAGCTTTAGCTGGGAGAACGACGTTTGGATTCAAAACTTGCTAAATCTCAGATCAAAGCTGTGGCTTCAGCTTTCTTCCTTGTCTTCCCATCAACCAGCATATATTAAAACGTGCAAATATGATGCTAATTAATGTTGGTAAATTTGTAAAAAGAAAAATAATAATAATAATAATAATGTTGGTCAATGGTCAACCACCAAGGTTCAAAACTATATAATATATATCTAACATGTGCAATTGGACCGATGATCTAAGAAAACGTTGCATAATTTCATGCAATAAGTTATTATCTATTAATATGAACGTCTCATGATATTTTGGATCTTGTTTTTAAATTTTGTATTTATTTTTATAATATTTAATAATTTAAATATTTTTATACTTTATACTATATATATATATTAATTTTTTTATTTTCATAAAAAATAATTGATGTCAATATTGTCAAAAATAACATAATTAACGTTAATTTAAAAGATTTATTATAAGATAAAATGAAAACTATATGAGATTAATCTAAAACAAAATTAAAATAATATTTCTTATCAATACACTATAAATTTGGTTGACGAAACTCTTTCATTAATTAACTTAAACAATTCGCTAATACAGATTTATTCCTAAGTATTGAGCTTATTGTATCTTGACGTCTAAATATTTTTTTAAATAATCTTGGGGATTACAAGATATTATTTATTTATAATTTTATTAACTTATTAATAACACACAACTACTCAAACTTAAAACTTCTAAAAGAATAACATTTTTTTTATTACTTAGTCCACTTGATGAATTCATGTATTAATAATATTTAAAAAAAACAATGATTTGATTATAATGTCTTACACGTATAATTTGACACCTTTTAATAATGTATAATTTCACAGGAGTCAAAATATTGTACTATTTAAAAAAATATAAAGACTTATTAGGTATTTAAATTCAAAATTCAACATGAAACAAGTAATATTAGTGATTAAGAGATTGTTGTTATCCTTAAGGTCTCGAGTTCGAGCACTGCGCATATAGTGGTATGAGCCTTCTTCGTCAAATAATTGAGAGTCTTTGCATATATATTACCTTGTATTCACCTTAGATTTATATTAAAAAAACCTCAAAATTCATAAGATAACACCTAATTTGTATAATATCTAAACTTACAATCAGGGCCGACCCTAAGCATAGGCCAGGGGTGCGACCGCCTAGGGCCCCAAGCTTGGAGGGGTCTATTTTTAAAAATATTTTTAAGTTTAAAAATTTAAAAAAAATATTTTTAAACATATTTTTTAATTTCAAACACTCGAAAATATAGTAATTTAGTGAGCCACAATAATTAAAAAATATTTTTAAACATTATTTTTTATTAAAAAACTCGAAAACATGGTGATCCAATGGGCCTCATTTTAATGATTGAAATGGAAACTAAGTATGGGCCTCCACTTGTCTTCTTGTCATCACCTCCTGGCCTAGGACCCTTAAAATGTCAGAATCGGACCTGCTTACAATGACCTAAATTGTTATTAGAACAAAATTTTGAGAACACGGAGTTATCATTCTTTAGTTTGGTCCTTGATTAAATATTTAATAAATTCTTATATTTTTTAATTTAAATATTTATTTTTACATAAACAAAAATACTATTATATCAAAATTATATCGAATATATAAATTTTAACAAGGATCAAGGTCTCGTTGGACCCTCACTAAACTCCGCCACTGTATGTTAGCATTATAGATTGTATGTATCGAGTTCAAGGACATTTGATACGATGGAAAGTAATCGTTTTTGGGAGGGAATGTATGTTTTTGTTTTGGAAGGATGCACATGGATATGGTTATCAACTACAGCTACTCCCAAGCAGCTAAATCCGGTAATTGCATCTTGTAAATAGCTTTATGCTTCCCCTTTAGACACTGAATTTGTTGCATCAACATGCATGAATTTTAAAGGCCACGTCGTGTATGATATTGCCCCTCCAATGGCAACAAAATTTTGACTATGTTGATTCCCCCCACAGAGGAAATTGATAGCAATAATTAGTGTATTATTAGGGTTTAGTCTCGAGTTTCTATTGCTAATTAGGGTCCAGTAGTTTCTAAATCAAACCATTTTAATTAAGAGGGTTGATTAATGTTTTGCATGTGCAACATATGATATCACGTGTGGACATGAACTTAATCCATTTTTATATTGAATTAATGCTTGTGGCCCAGAGAGTGTTAAGTCATAACAAGCAGGCATCGAGATAAAAGAAAACGTGAGAATTTTGTAAGTGCACATGGACGTTACATTTAGTTAAAATAGTTCAGAGATGGATAATTTGGTCTGACAAACATCGAAAGTGTAACCGTGAAACAGTTCCACTCATTCACATGGGGACAGGGGTAAGGAGAAGACACGTGGCACGTGGTGAGCAACATTAGCTATGGAAGATGTGATGAAGATTGGGATTGGGATTGGGATTGGGATTGGGGATGGGGATGGGGATGGGGATGGGGATGGCGTGAAGAATGGAAAAACATTATCAAATCTGACTTAACTGCTCAACAATGTCGCCTCTCCAGCCCCTCGAAACAATTATTAGATGGACCTGATTTATTTATTTCATTTTTTAGTATAAATAAATAACTGATAATTATTTAAAAATTACTTTTAAAAAAAATATTAACTAAAATCATAAATAACGTGATGAATCGAATCTATCTAATAATTTTTCTCGACTCTCTATATCTCTTCAAGTTATTCTATAAATTCTAACTTTAACGATCCAAAACTAAATATCATTAATTTGATTCAACTTTAATTCAGTTAATGTAATTATTATTATAATAATCAATAATTTCTAGAGCATATAGTTAGAAGCTCTAAGTTAACACTTTCCTTTTTTTTTTTAGATTGTGAGTTCAATGCTTATTTGAAATAAAATTTCTCTTCTCCTCCTCTAAGCGAGAATTGTTAAAAAATTATTATTATTATTATATTCTTTTATTAATACATTTATTATTATAATATTTAAGAAGATATATATTATTTTTAATAAAATAAGAAGATATATATTAGAATATATTTATATGTATATTATCATTATATTTATAGATAAAATAAGATCTGGATAGTTTATGCATTTGTTGTGTAGAAAAGGTTGGAAGGATCGCAATATAATATATTTTTGTAATATTTAATTTGAATTAATTTATTAATAAATTGAATATCGATCAATGATTAAAAAAAGGATTATAATTATCAATTATCAATTGATATATTAGAATGAAACATTAAATTACTTAATTAATGTTAAAAATTTAAATTCTAACATTTTGAACAAAAATAATTAGATTAGCAGGATTATTCCTTACTAAACTTGTATGGTATTTGATCTAGATAATTTAAAAAAACGAATATCAATAATTATATAAAAAAATATTATAAGATTAACCCAAATATATGTTTAATACAATAAATTTGATTCATATTTAAAAAACACGAATTAGACTAAAATAAAATGAAATTATCCATAAAAAAGTGACGAAACTGATCCAAAGAGAATCATATACTTTTTCTTTTTCATAATTTGTTTCATATTGATTATACATATAAATGATAAAATTATCTTTAAAAAGTGTTTTGATAAATTTATTTTGATTAGTGTAAAAAAGTACGACAAGGGTAAAAAATATATAAGCACTGTTGTTTGAGACACATTTAGTTAACCTGAGTAAGTATTTATTTTATTGGATAAAAATCAGAAGCCTATTTAATAAGCAGAAATTGATAGCCCTACTTTGTTCCATTCAAGTCTCTTGTTCGCAATTGTCACTTCACCCTTTTCCTACCTTAACTCCTTGCTCTTCTCTTTGCTCATCTTTCTTATATATCTTTTTTTTTTCTCTGACAAAACCACATCCATCCTTGAACACAATGTCAAGCAGAAGATCACGTTCAAGGCAATCAGGTGTTTCCAGCATCACAGATGATCAGATCGCCGATCTTGTTTCCAAGTTGAAACACCTCATCCCTGAGCTTCGGAGAAGCCGCTCCGTCAAGGTAAGCAAAATAAATATGTTCAGCATACTTCATGCTTTGACATCATCATTCGTCACACTCAAATGAATCGACGCAATTTGATATTAGTTGTTAAGCTTAAAAATCTAATGTTATTTTAATGTCTGCTAAATTTGTTTTCAGATATCAGCCTCCAAGGTCTTACAGCACACCTGTAACTACATCAGAAGCTTACGCAGAGAGGTGGACGACCTAAGCGACAGGTTATCCCAGCTATTATCTTCCACAGACATCGATAGCGACCAAGCATCCATTATCAGGAGTTTACTTATGTAATAATATACCTGTGCTGTATTGTGTTAGTAGTCGACGTAGTAATGCAGAAATTACTGCCTTGTCTTCAAATATTAATAAAGTTCATCATCATATATTATAAAAATGAAAAGACATCAACATTTCTAAAAAAAAATATTTAAATTTTTTATGAGTTGATTTACAGATATGATTACTGAGGATTCAGGCAATGAAATTACTGCCTTTTCTTCGATGCACCCAAGGAGAGAGAGAGAGAGAGAGAGAGAGAGAGAGCGAATACTTAAGATTATATATCTTGCTTTATTGTCATGGCGTATTTGTATATAAGCTTCTTATATATATATAAAATTAAAGAACTTGTTAAGACTGAACAAACAAAGAGGTCTGATCAGAAAACATAAAAGAAGAAAAAAGAAAGTGGAAGATAGAGATTTTTTATACATAAAATAATATTATATTATTATATATTTAATTATTAATAATATATTTTATATATAAAATATTATATTATTAATTATTAATAATATTATATAATTATATATTTAATAATTAATAATATTATATATACATTTAAATTTGTGTCTATTTTTTAATTAATAATTTGAAGAAAAAAAGGGTATCCGGGTACCTGAAATATGGGTACCCGTAATATCCGGGTCGAGACACGGACAGAGAAATAAATTACCCGAAGATCTAGGTACCTGTCACTTCGGCTACCCGAAAACCCGGTACCCGGATTTACACACCCCTAATTAGAATACCTTAAAATATCTATTAAAAATAATATATTAAAATCTAATATTTTTTAATACAAATAGTTTTATTAAAAAATAAAAAAATTACATGAGAATTTACATCAAAATGAAAACTAAACGCGTAGTTAAGATATTTCCTATAATCATTTATCAGAAATTAGTAGCTTAAGATCATATAAAGATCATGCAAGAAAAAAAATTAAAAACTCATCCAAAAAACTTGAATAAAATAAAAATACAAATAGATATGACTGCATAGGCAAACTAACCGCAACAAGAGATTAAGTTACTGAAAGACCATAAAAAATCGTGAATCAGAGTTAAACGTCGTGAGAAAACTATCTCGGAACACAAATCACATATTCAAATTTATCTGAGGGTTCAAAGCATGACAAATTAGTAGGATAACAAATAAACATCATATTGATCAGTCGAGACGATGTCAAATTTAACCCTAAAACAACATAAAAGAACAACCAAACGACAGATAGAGAATACCGAAAATGTGTCAAAAGGTTACTAGAATTAGAAAAAACATAAGAAAAAGAAAGATGCGATATAAGAAAATAGATAAAAAAAATAAGGAATATCAACAGTCAACTATCAACATTAAGATTAGTGTCACCGCCGACCAAGAAAACTAAAGAAAAAAGTTCAAGCTGCTTGAGGGGGGAAAATCTCTTTACTTTCTGTTAGGTTAAAGTTTTTAGTTTATAAGATAATTATTTTTAAGTATTGATAATTTTAAGATAATATATTATTATTATATAGTTATCCACACATAATACATACTCAAACTAAATTTAACATTACTAAATTTAAAATAAATTAAAAGAATTTGAAATAATATTTTAGATCTTATAAAAATAAAACTAATAAAAAAATTTAATGGTTTTATACTGCAAATCTAGCGAATTTTTATTTTTATAATGAAAAGCAGCATAGTATAATTTACAATATGCAAAGTAAAAACTGAGATAAAACAACCCAAGTGATTAAGTTTTCTAAAAACATATTTGGTTGTTTGTGCTCCACTTATGTTTCACAAGAAGTTAGATAAAAAAGTACTTCCAAGTGTCTTTATAGACTGTGACACTGTTGTGAAATCTTATAAAAGCTTTTCTAACCGCATATTGAGAAAATTTTCATAAGAAAGATGTTCTTTTGTGAAAGGTAAAGAGTGAAACTGAGATAAGGCAAAGAAAAATGATCAAACTGTAGTATTTTCTATTTCGACCACAAATGAAGATGAAAGTCCACAGAATGAGTTGGCGTGTGATGCTCCTCTAAGGGGTACTCACTGACTTTTATGCAAGATGCAATATAGTTGTGTGTAAACCTACAACTTGCTGATAGGAAATAATGTAGATTGGTTGAGGAATTCAAACAAAAAATGATAAAAGCTTTAGAGAAGACAAATCTCAGATTGATGACCTTCTTTCTTGGAATGGAATTAAGCATGCTGAGCATAAAGTTTTCATCTGCCAGAAAAAGTACTTTTTCTGATAGTGACTTAAAGAAATTCATGATTGAAGGATACAAGGGAGTAAGCACTCCAATGAATCAAAAGAAGAATATGTGTCAGGAAGATAGAGTTGATAAGGTTGTTGAGAGATATTTTAAAAGTTTGATCGGTCGCTTGATATACCTTACAACAAGTCTTGACATTTTATATGTTGCAAGTACCTTGTTCAGATTTATGCATTGTGCAAATAAATTTCATCTCAAAGATGTCCAGAGAGTGATTTGATATGTGACAGGAACTAGTAATTTTAGTGTTAAATTTACAGGAAGTAAGACATTCAAAGTTGTTGGTTTATCTGATAGTGACTTGGAAAGTTGAGTACCTCAGGCAACTGTTTTACTTTTAGATCTTGTGTTTTCTCATGGAGCTCAAAGAAATAAGAAATCGTGAATCAATCCACAGCTTAAGCAAATCTTTTTGCTGCAACAGGTGTTGTTAATCAAGTTTTATGGCTAAGAAAGATATTAAGTGATCTTAACCTAGAATAGGAGAGTAAAAAAAATTTCATTGATAATCAAGCTGCCATTGTAATTTTCACAATCTAGTGTTTCATGGGAAGACTAAGCATTTCAACATTAAACTTTTCTTCTTGAGGGAAGTACATGAGAAACAGGTTGTAAATGTCCATCATGCCATTGCCAATAAGCAAATTTGATGTTTTGAGGACAACACTTGGTGTTTACAGCTCCTATAGCAAGGATGAGTGTTAGATGACATGTTTATGATTGTTGATTGTGTTTAGTTATGTTTCAAGTAGTTGCTATTTTTTTAGACATTTTATTATTTAAGTTTATGTTTGTGACTTAAGCTTATGTCATGTTGTTAGTGTTATTTTTCTTTGATTTAAATTGTAAACGTTGCTGAACAAAAATAATACAGGTCCAATTTTCTTTTTTTGATAAAAGAAACCAGCATTACTGAACCAACGGCAATGGTTGACAATCAATTGCAAAAATTGCATATTTCACGGCCCATTGGCCCAAAACTTTCGAGGAAATAATAATAATAATAATAAAATAAAAGAACCCTAAAAGAGAAACCAGAGGGGATGCAGTTGACGGCAAAACAAAGATGAGCACATGGGACTGCAAGCTGAACCAACTCCCCCATGGGAGAAGCAAGTAATATATGGCCATGTGGAAAGGAAGATTCAGCTCTTCTGTTTTATTTATTTTAGTAAATTCTATATTATTTCCCCTAATTATTGCGTAATTATTAATAGAATATATGATGTATTCGGGTTTAAGAGAGGTTTTTCTTATGTAGCTTATGAAAGCTGAGTACAGATGATGAGCAAAGAAACTGTCTGCTAAAGTAAAAAAAAAAAAAAAAAAGGAAAGGCCCCTCCTAAAAGAGATGATAATGGAATGGAAGCATCTACGTCTAATCAAATAAACCTGTATAAGAAGTATGTTAAGTGAGGAAGTTTGGGATTTGTTGTAGAATTTTAACATGGATTCATGAGAAAGATTTTCTTCTCTCTCTCTCTGTCGCTGTCAAAGATACAGCCATTTTACAGTTGCAGAGAGGAAAGGGAAGGACTGAAACTGATGAGAATGGGATAGAGGGTTCGGTCCTGATGCACGATAGGTGTTGGTGGGTTAGGTATCAACCTCTGACCTCGGCCCCATCCTTTTGATTCCTGCCTCTTCTCATTCATTTCCAACTCATTTCTCTCTTTTTTCTTTTTTACTAATCATCACATGCTTTTTTTTCCCTCCATCAAACCCTCAACTTTTTTCTCTCTCTCTAACACAATCACATTTCTTCATGGAACTAATCGATCTTCTTTGAAAGCTGCTTCCCATTTTTTATTTATCTGTCTAAAGACAAGTCTATTTTATTTGTTTCTAAAGTATGGAAAAAGGATAGTACCATGAAAACGACCCTAAAATTATTGGAATCACTGCATGATATTGTTTTCAGCCACCACATTACCGGGTTTAATATTGTTAGCAGCCAGCCAGCCAGCCTTTCCTCCCCTAGTTATGCCCTTCTTTTTCTAGTCTCACTTTTGTCCACTAATGCGTATGGGTTTTGTTTGATATGCATTAAGGATTCATTCAGAATGTTTTTAAATTTAGAAAATGATTTGCAATCAAAATCATAGTTTAGGAGTGTTTGATGCAATTAACTCAAAATTTATAAAATAACACTGATGTGTCCCTCTCTTCCAACGAGCTAAACCCATCTTTGTATAAAGAGACTAAATGAAACAATAAGAGTCATCATTCATATACGTCTCTTTCTCTAAGAACTTGAAGGAAATAGGAACAGAAATAGTATAAAAGAAAAATAAAGTTTCTTCCTAGAAGCTAAAGGTTGAAGTTGACAAGCTATAAAAGCTATAGATTTTCTACAAATCTCTGCATCACCTTAAAATCCAAGAGATTCTAGTTTTCCATTCAGTCTGATCTATATATCAGATCCCTCTTATGCTTTTCTTATATTAAACTCTGTGTCCACTCCGAGGACGATCTACTGCATATCCTTCTGCTCCATGTCTTGCAATGGCTTGGCGTTTTCCCCAGCAAATTTCATGCTCCAAGTCCAACACGAAGATCATCAACGCTCCACTAATTTTGTCAATCAAATTCTCCCTTCTTGCACGGTTCCCCAGGACTTTCATGGTGCCACTCAATTTATTTTTATGCTTTCATCTGATCTAGTTTAAGAGTCAAATGTCAATCTATGGGAAATTTAATTCGGTTCCTGTTTTTGGTTTTCTTGGTTGATTACCATAGCTGTAGCATCGTTTCTGGGGAAGAGATCAATTCCATTTCCAGGAAACGATGTGTGTGAAGAAGCAAACATGGGGGATGATCTATCAGATGATGGTTCACAGGCAGGAGTAAAGAAGAGAAGGCTTAACATGGAACAAGTGAAGACATTAGAGAAGAACTTTGAGTTGGGGAACAGGCTTGAACCCGAGAGGAAAATGCAGCTGGCTAGAGCTCTTGGACTGCAGCCCAGACAGATTGCTATTTGGTTTCAGAACAGAAGAGCGAGATGGAAAACCAAGCAACTAGAGAAAGATTATGATCTCCTCAAGAGACAGTACCAAGTGATCAAAGCTGATAATGATGCACTTCAAGCTCAGAACAAAAAGCTCCACGCAGAGGTAATCTATTTCTTATGATTAATTCAATGAACATTTAATTATTTATAAGTTAATTAATGTACATGTAGATAAAGGCACTGAAAAGCAGAGAAGCAAACGAATGTATCAACCTGAACAAAGCAACCGAAGGCTGTAGCAGCAATAGAAGTGAGAACAGCTCGGATGTGATGTTGGATATATCAGCATCGGCAAACGAGAGCCCGCTAACAAGTAGCAGATCAAGAACATTTCTGTTCCATGCAGCATTGTCGAATTTAAGAGACGATAATCATCACCATCAGCCACCACAAATGGTTAAAGAAGAAAGCCTCACCACCAACATGTTCTGCGCCATCGAGGATCAAACCGGGTTTTGGCCATGGCTCGATCAACAACAATATCATTTCGATTGATTCAAGCTCAGAAAAGTTGATTTTAGAAATCAAGAGAGACGTGAAGAATTTTCCAAGTAAAATTATATACTTGTTTCCCCAGTAAATTGCCGTGCAGGAGCAGATCTAGCATATTGGGCCATGAAAGAATATAGAGCGATGATTCTCTTTAGCTACAGATTTTTAATTATTGTTTCTTTTTTTCCCTTGCTTTGAATTCATGTGTTTTTGTACTGTGGAGTGCATTGAAGTGAGTCCTTGCAATGATCATTTTAATTTTTTCATCATTAATTGATCAGTACTAAACTGTAAACGACAATAGTGAACAAAAAAAAAATCTAATCCTAAGTTAATATCTTAATTTAAAAATTATATATAAATGAAATCTACTGCAAGTATGCAATCTTTATTTTATACCGAGGAGAAAAGGAGTGTATCCAACACACATTCCAAGGGGAGAATATGACAAACATGTACATGAAGAGTGGAAGCAAACAAGGGAGTTGAAAAGGGTCATTTTAGTGAATATATTTAAATTATTTTATTTAATCATAAGCTAATGTACACATGTTTCGGTACAATCTTGCTACATTACTACATGCAATTGATCAGTAAAAAATTGATTGAGAAAAAATACGTGTAGCCCAGTGGCCACTGTCATCAACTCTAACACCATCTTTCATTTTTGGTCCCATTTCTTCTTTCCAATGACAGACTCAAAGTAATTGTCAATGGCAGCAGCCCAAATCAACAAGTAAATATTGATGTAAATTAATGTGTTAGGCAGCTAATGATCTTATTGTCTGGTAGCTAACCTATGATATTCCTCATTCAATTATCATACAAGCTCCGCATAAAGTAATATATTAAGCGAACCATTAATTAAGACTAAAACAAAATTACTCAGTATTTTGGTGCACTAGGATGGATATATATATTTACAATACTCAGCCAAAGAAACCATAATTTGGCACAAACAAGTCAAAGGATTTAACTATAAACTAAACGCGACGTTAAACGCTTGTTTATTCAGTTAAAAAAAATTAATTGTTTAATTATACTTTCTCTTATGGGATCAAGTGAAGAGATTTGAGATAATCTTCTGGCAACCTGCAGGCTGCAACTATTGGCATTTAGCGAATAGAATTTTAAAATAATATTTGTATTTAAAGTATATATTATTGATATTTAAATTTATATATTGAGAAGCTATTAAATGATACATGTGATAAAAAAAAGAATGTTATTCTTTTTAGATGTTCGAATTTGAACAATTGTGTCTGTAGAGTATATTTATGTTGTCAATGATTAAATTTGAAAAAAAAAATACTACCCTACATATTATTAAAAAAATATTAAAAAAAAACTGTAGTGCCAAAATGGTTAAGAAATTAATAGTTGGGATAGAGTTTGTTTAGTGGGCACATGCATGGTACAGATGGTTTTAATTCATTTTGAGTAAAGATTTTTAATATATTGTCAAACATGTATGCGGGACGGGTAGTTAGATAGCATGTGAGCAGCAAAAGCATATACTAAATGGTGATGGAATTAATTAATTAATCAATTAAACCGTGATTTGTAACATGAAATTGGGCAGCGTCAACTGCCTAAAACAATATTCTAAGCACCAAGAATTGAGTTATTTAATCGAAACAAGTAGATTTGGAAAGCTTTGTCTACCTATTCACAACAATAAAAAACAAATTTATTTCTGTAGTACACCCAAGGTCGAGGTTGATACTGATCAGGTATTCTTTCATGCATTTCATCCTGTGTTTAGGTAAAATAATATAGTTTAAATTAATTAAGCAATTAATTAGAGAATGATTATTATTATTATTATTATTATTATTTGACACACTATTGTATTTGGGATTTGAAGCAATGGGCGATTCCTTTTGCATGTCTTTGTGATTCCAGTGATTATCTCGCTGATATTTTTTTAATTTTTTTTCAATGATCACATAAGATTATTTTATGATGCCATCACCCCTATGCTTTTAACGGCCGAGTATAAAAATTAAACTTAAATTAAATGTTATATATGGTTTTAAAAAGAAAATAAAGTTTGGAAACCAAAACAGAATAAAAGTAATAGTTTAGATACTAAACGTGTAGTTTACCCTTAACTTTATTCATCCATAATTTACTTTAGGAGTGTTCAAGAAAATTTATAACCATTAACCAGTATAACCGTTACATTTAATAGGTTAATTAATTGAATCATTAATGTTAAGCGGTTTCGATTAACTGAACTACTAAAATTGATGGTTAACGGTTTCGAGCTGCTTGTTTGACTTACACTTCCAATGGATTAGTGAGTTTTTCCTTTTTAATTTTTTGGATTTGATTTATATTTTCCGCAGAATCACTGATTCTTCTGTTATTCAATTTCGGTTCATTTAATTTATTTGACTTTATGTTAATGAACTCGTAATTGAACTTTTCCAACTCTTCTAGGGCAATGCACATATATTTCTATTATTTTTTCCTTTTATTTCAATCGTGAATTTATTTTATGTTTGTTAAATTTCACTCATCACGTTCTCGTTCTTTACTTATTAGCCTAGTTTTAGTATGAGTTTCGATAAAATTCCTTTGGATACATCTTTGTTTCATGTGTTTACATGAATAATTTTCGTGCCTGATTTTATGATTGATATACATTATATAGATTTATTGTTCTGACTCATTCTTTACGGGCTACCTTTTTATTCAGTTTTCAATTATGTCAGACAATCACATCTACTGGGACTAAGAAAGGTGAATTTCTTTTGGCTGATGTAAACACTCAGCGGAAGAACAACATCACAACTGATGTGGCAGTCGACATTAAATCGAATGTAAGTTGTGCAATGCATTCACAATTCAGTTAAGGTTTATATCTCTAAGGTCATATTAATAATTGTTATATCATGCTTGCATATGTCATTCTCATGAATGCAAAAATAACAGAGGCCCTTTGGAACGTATAGATGTGCAAAGTGTTATTCCTATTTCAATTTTCAAACCATGGCAAGCCTTCTTTATTCTCTTGACATGTGAAATTATTGTAGTGTCCGATATCATCTCATTTTGGTTTTTCGAGTTTGGCTTTCGCTTTTTAGCTTCTCACCACTGTCACTGTTGATGAACCTGCATCAGGATTGAAGACCATCTTTAGTTTCGTTGTTCCTAATCAAAAGTCCGGCAAGGTAATCGAGATCGAGACTTTCTTACTCCTGTTCCTGTCATTGAGTTTTGTGTTTGCTAATAACAACATTTTCAGCATGTTATTGAAGTACATAGGCGTGGCTATATTTGTCCCCTCGTTAACTTTAGGTTTCATGAGTAATAACCGTCTTTATGTTGTCGTAACAGGTTGAGTTGCAATACCAGCATGAATACGCTGGCATAAGAACCAGCATTGGATTGACTTCACACCTTCTTGTTAACTTTTCAGGTGTGGTTGGAAACAGTTGTTTCTCTGTTGGGACTGATCTCTCATTTGAAACTTCCAGTGGAAACTTTACCAAATTGAATGCTGGGTTAAATATCACCCATTCTGACCTCATTGCATCTATGACATTGTCGGTGCGCCAAATGTGATGAAAAGAATAAATGAACGAGTTGACTAGCAAGGTGGCGGATTTCAGTAAGTAGCACGCCGGCAATAGAATAATCCGGGACAATCGAGGAAGCGTGATTGATCACGGAGCGAGAGTTAATCTCGATCATCACAGAAGAGTAGTCTCGAGCATTTGACAGCTTAAGGCTAAAGCTTAGTTAAACACGCCAGGGCTTCCACAACAAAAACATCAAGAGCGTGAGGGACAAAACTATATGCACCAGCCACAAAAGCACCAGTTGAGTCGCGTGCAACAATGTTGAGACCACCAGCACCTGAAGTTCGATCAAAAGAACCATCAAGATTTAATTTCAACATACCTGAAGGTGGTGACAACCAAGCAACAGGCACCGACATAAAGGCGACATCAGGTCGATAGTTAACATGTACAAATTCTACGAAGTATGCCTCAACAAAGCGATGCATTTCCAAGTCAGAGTAGGAGATGTCATCTTGAAGGTGGCGGTTTCGATTTCCCCATATACTCGGGAGCAAGATAAGAAATGAGAGAAGTCATGACCCTGTAAAGGTTTTCTCATTGTCAATTACCAATCCGCAAAAGTAGAAACTGATATTTGATTCAGCTGATGTCAGTTGAAGAGAGACCAAACAAAAATCACACAACACATGGAAAGAATATGGGGGTATGGAATGTGTTTATAGCATAAAACCAACACACTAGTTAGTGAATATACAAATCAAAAGGCTTTCTTTTGCATGCAAACGTACGGGGTGTAAATCAATTCCACCCAGGGTTTGGGGTCCCCCACACGACGTGGGCGAAACAAAATGTTTGCATTCGTTATTGTTGTATCTTGAGAGAGAGACGTCCAATATTTTCGAGTACCGATGAGAGGACGCCTCAACAAATTTTCAGAAACTTCCGGAAAATCCTCCACTCAAGTTTCTTTGGAACCTCCGATAATTTCACCTCTTCTGGAAACTTTCTATTTCTTATTATTATTTTCTTTACGATAATTTTTCGATAGAATAATTGTCCTTAAATTATTACTGCGTTATTTTTTACACAAAATAGATCGTGGAGAAACCAGGAATTAGCTATAGTTAAAGTCAATATAGATTGGTTGGTTGTAGCGCTGTCTCATGCTGTCGTTCTTGAAGTGTCTCAACTCATGAGGGATCACTTGGTCCAGCAAAATCGAACATTGCAATTGGCACAACAGAATGCTATGGGGGAAAGCAAATTTTTTAACTTTAGTGACCAAAATAAGAATGAGAATAAAGTTGAATATTGAAATTTATAATTTACCCATATTAATTTTACATTTCTATTCAGGGTTGTGTGTATATATATTTCATATTTGCAGCGGAATATATTACAGATTTACATCAAAAGATCAGAAATGATAAAAACTCTAGACTAATGAAGATTTATACATTCTCAGTCTCGTGCATAATGACAACCAAAGCTAGAATAAAGGCGTAGTCAACCTCCGGATACACTTTGACCTTGAAACTTTCTTTGCCCTGGCAGCTTCCCCATGTGTAATTATGCTTAACCTCATCAATGATTAAATTGCCTTTCCAAACTTTGAAAGAAAGGGAAGTAATACTCGCTGTTACATGAAAATCTGGGCCATCTTCCTTGTAGTTGCTCGCTAAGTAGACATCGAGATCGTTCTTGATCTGAAGTGCATCCGATTGTTGCACGCTGCACACACAATGGTTTTGCTCCACGCTTTCGCCTTCATAGATTTGCCACTTCTTTTTCCACGACGATGTCTGCTGATTTCCACAACTCGCATCATTTACTTCTTAAAAACTCATAACATGTCAGACGGAAAATGTTTGCATATGTTATTATGTTACCTTTTTGCAGAGTGATGACAGGCGAACCAGCATGATCTTTTATCACAATTTTCTTGGCTGAGTTCCAGACGCCAGCGCCGCCATCGATTTGAAGGAGGACATCTCCATTGCTGTCGAACATATCGTAGTGTGCATGGGAAAATGATTCTACTTTTCTCTTCACGTTGAGATGCAATGTGTAAGAGACACAGAATTGATCCCCGATTATTTTGATGGTCGGTTCGTCAGTTGCCATATTCTGAAAAATGATTTAGAAGCTGGTATTCTTTAGTAAACTGAATGAAAACACTCTTGCTTCTTCCTGGGAAAAGAATTACAAGGAAATTATAAGGGCGAAGAGGTAAAATAAATTTACTTTAAATATAGTAGGATAAAAGAGCAAAATTCTGGAGAGACTGTTGTGACGATATAACAAGATTTGCTTCATTGGGTTTAGATTAAAGATTTCAATTATCCAGAAACAAAATTCTGGCACTTTGTTGTTATGATGTACAATGAACAACTGTTAGTTCTTAACCACAAACATTCTGATTTGTTTAATAATCAAACACAACTGATTCATTTCCATGATTATGATTATATACAGCATTAATCATTGTTGTCATAAACCATATTTGTTTTAAAAAAAAAATCATATGCGAACATAACTTAATAGTAGAATAAAGTACTTACGCTTATGATATAGTTAGATAATTTAGAACTTATTAATACATATCATTACTGTTCAACTACTTTAGATCATCGCCCCATACTCCCATAGCTTGTAACTTGAAAAGTTTGAAAATTAAACAATTGCATTGAGTTTTATTATTGAATGAAAATATATTTTCAAGATTGCATTAAATTTTGCCGACTCCATCTCCAGTTGTGAAAGTTACTTTATTCCTTCTATCTGTTCATCTATCTTCGTCCTAATAAACCTTTTCTTCTCTGTGTTGAAAATATATGCTTCTCTTTTATTAAGAGACTCGCTGGCTTTTGCTATTGTTTCCAAGGTGTAAGCCTAAATCATTTCAACAATTAATTGGGGCCTGGAAAGGCTGCCTTTTCATTGTAAATTTAAAATCAAGTTTTAATCAAACGTAAGCAAACAAAAAGAGAGATTGATTAATGAGGATCTTTTGAATAGAGCAAACTGAGTTCGAAAGTTCATTTTTGTCTCTATAATATTCGATATGAATTAGTTGATTAATAGATTGAGATTATACCAAAGAAAAAAAAATCTCGTAAAATTCAATAATGATAAAGTGGTAATAGGATTCTCATTATTTTCCTTACCAGGCCATTGATTCTTGTTCAAGTCGCTATAGGTGTAATTCAAGAGTGTATTGGGTGCGTAAATGTACCAAGAATATTTAACATGAGAACGTGCATGCAACGGCTGTTGGGGAAAACGGGTTATTTCCCACACGAACGTAGTTTTAAAATTGACCTAAAATGTCAAGATTAAAACCACCAAAGGTTGCACAGCGGATAAACCTGTCAAACTATTGAATATTGAAACACAATGGAAAAGAACCGAATAAAAAACAATAAAGGAGAGAACACACCAACTTTACGAGGTTCGATGGGAATATCGTCTACTCCTCGGGCACCACACCGGATGATAACTTCACTATATCGCCAATATTACAACAAATGGAATTCTTTGGAATTCCCAAAGTGGGAGAATGAAGAATACAAGAGGAAGAGAGAACTTGTTTTTGGGATAATTTCTAATGGAAATACTTAGGCCTATTTATAGTTGAGTTTCAAGAACAATATGTTCAAAGTTTGGCCACCTACCAAAGAATTTTCTAATGTGTACAAGTTAGCCACCAAATATGAAATTCACATGTTCAAAGTTTGGCCACCAACCAAGATGAAATTTCCAATAAGTTGGCCACCAACCAAGGTGAAATTTCCAACTTGTCAACTTAATTTCTAGAAAAATCTAACAAATCTCCACCTTGGCTTAAAATTAACAAGCCTACTCAACTTCTTCAACTCCCCAAATTTGTAGTGCCTCTAATTGCGCTCACAAGCGCCACACACCCGAAGGTGTTCATACTTTCAGGATTTTAATCAAAGTTCAAACAATGATTGAACTTGATTACTGTTACCACCTTGGTCATCATATCTGCAGGATTTTCTGATGTCGCAATTTTCTGAAGTAGAATATTTCCTTCTTCAAAGATCTCCCGCACAAAGTGATACCTCACGTCGATATGCTTAGTCCTTGAATGGTAGACTTGATTTTTTCGCTAAGTGAATAGCACTCTGACTGTCACAATAGAGACTAATGTGACTTTGAACAACTCCCAAGTCTTCCATCAACCGTTAAGCCAAATTGCTTCCTTTACAGCCTCTGAAACTGCCAGTATTCTGCCTCTAGTAGACAAGGCCACCGTAGATTGCAATGTAGAATTCCAACTTACCGGGGCTTTAGCAAGAGTAAACAAATACCCAGTAGTTGATCGACGCTTATCCAAATCACCAGCATAATCGGAATCAGCATATCCAACCATACACTGACCAAGTGCTTCATCCTGTTCAAAAACTAAACCACATCCACGTTTGTTGGAGATACCGTAGAATCCATTTCACAGCTTGCCAATGTCCTTCTCCAGGATCATGCATGTACTGCTCACAACTCCAACTGCTTGTGAAATGTCATGACGCATACACACCATTGCATACATCAAGCTCCCAACTGCATAGCTATGGAATTTTGCCATATCACTCGTTCTTCGTTAGTTTTAGGAGATAATTGAGAACTAAGTTTCAAATGAGAAGCCAATGGATACTTACATGTTTGTATTTTCATTCATGCCAAAACATTGTAATACCTTTCTTAGATACTGCTTCTGTGTTAAACAAAGCTTCTTTCTCTGTCTATCTCTGCTTATCTCCATACCAAGAATCTTCTTGGCCTCACCTAGATCTTCATCTCAACTCTTGATTCAACTGAGCCTTTAATTTGTCTATCTCCTTTTGACTTCGAAGCGATCACATATCGTCAACGTACAAGAGAAGATAAATGAAAGATCCATCTTTGAGCTTTTGCAAATACACACAATGATCATATTTGCTTCTATATACTTTTGCCTCCCATAAAGCTATCAAATTGCTTGTACCACTGCCTCGGAGATTGCTTCAATCCATATAGCGATTTGTTCAGCTTACAAACCCATTTCTCACAACCACCATCTTTGTATCCTTCTGGCTGTGTCATATAGATCTCCTCTTCTAAATCACCGTGCAAGAAATCCGTCTTACATCAAGTTGAGCTAGCTCCAATTCAACTGTGCTACCCAAGGCCAACAATATTCTAATGGAGGAATGCTTCACAACAGGGGAAAATACTTCATTGTAGTCGATTCCCTCCTTTTGAGCGTAACCTTTAGCTACCAACCGTGCCTTGTAGCGAACATCTTTCTTGTTATGAGATCCATCTTTCTTTACAAATACCCACTTGCATCCAATGGCTCTTTTACCTTTCGGTAATTGTGCCAGTTTCCAAGTGTCGTTCTTTTGGAGAGATTGCATTTCTTCATCCATGACACTTTTCCACTTATCACTTTTCAAGCTTTGTATTGCTTCTTGGTAAGTGATAGATATCATCATCAACAACTAAAGAGCATAGGCCACCCATATCAACAAATCGAGCAGTCTACGAATTCTCTCATTGGCATTGTAACTGCAAGTGTTTCTGGTGTCTCCAATGGTTCTTGGGTTTGAACCTCTTCATCTTCTGATTCTTCTATTGGAGTTGAAGAATCAGCCGCATCAACTTCTGGGATCATCGTCTGTTGAAACTCCACCTGTTTTGGAGTATGCTCCACCTGCTGCGGAGTACTACTTATTTGGACAACTTCACTTGTTACCTTCTTTACTAGGGCAGATTCATCAAAGGTAACATCTCTGCTACAAATTATCTTCTTGGTGTCTAAACACCAAAGGCGGAATCCCTTCACCCATGGTGACTCCCATAAAGAGAGCCTTCTTTGCTCTCGATCAAGCTTGGATTCCGTCACATGATAATAGTGGATCCAAATACATGTAAGGAATCATAATCAGCAGGTTTTTCCAGACCATACCTCCAATGGTGTTTTTCCTCCTATTACTGATGACAGCAGACGATTGATGAGATGGCCAGCATATGTCACAGCCTCAGCCCAAAATGTCTTGCCTAACCCAGCATTAGACAACATACATCGAACTTTCTCCAATAGTGTTCGATTCATACGCTCTGCCACCCATTCTGTTGTGTATGTCTAACAGTGAAGTGTCAACAATACCATACTCATGGCAAACGTCAAAGATGGGTCACTTTTATATTCCCCTCCATTGTCCGTCCTAAGACTTTGATCTTCTCTACCAGTCTGGTTCTCGATCATATTTTCCATTTCAGGAAAATTTGAAGCACTTCATCTTAGACTTCATCGGATACACCCAAACTCTTCTGGAAAAGTCATCTACAAAAGTTACAAAATAATGGTTTCCTCCCAAAGACGATATCTTTGAAGGACCCCATACATATGAGTGAATATAATCTACAATACCTTTTATATATAGTGGTGCCAAACTTCACTCTCTTCTGCTTTCCCAGAACACAATGCTCGCAAAAGTTCAATTGCAAGCCTTTGCACCTTTCAACAATCCTTTCTTTGCCAGAATTTGCAAGGATTTCTCTCCAGCATGTCCCAACCGCATATGCCACAACTGGGTTACGTCCAAATCATCACCTCCGGAAGCTGCTGCAACTGCTCCAATAATTGTACTACCTTGGTAGTAATACAAATTTTTTTTCCTGATGCCCTTCATCATCACAAGTGCGCCATATGGACTTTTAAAACTCCATCTCTCATAGTGACTACTGAGCCTTGGATTCTAAGGCTCCCAACGAGATGAGATTTTTCTTCAACTGGGCACGTATCGGACATCCGTCAGAACTCTGGTTGATCCATCTTGATTCTTCAATCGAATTGAACCTATCCCACAGTTTTACAGGCAATGTCATTGCCCATATAAACAACTCCTGCATTTAGTTCCACTAAATCGGAGAACCACTCCCGATTAGGGGACATATGATAGGTGCAACCCGAATCTAATACCACTCATCGGAATGGAATGTTGTTGATGAAGCAACCAATGATATGTCAGAGTCATGTGCATCATGCTCTGCAACACATGCATCTGGAGCAGCTTTTCCTTTCTTCTTCAGCTTCGGACAATCTTTCTTCCAATGGCCTTTCTCATGACAAGGCACATTCATCTTTTCCCAGTCTGGACTTCGACTTTGATCTCCCTCTCCACTTTGGCTTTTGACTTTTCGAGCGACCTCTTGCCACCATGGCCTCTGCTGCTTCGTACTTGCTCTCCTTCTTGGTTTTCTTTCTGAGTTCATAACTATACAAAGCAGCAGTTACATCTTTAAGGGTAACATTATCCTTACCATGAAGTAACGTTGTCTCAAGGTGCTCAAATTCATCTGGAAGAGATGACAACAACATCAAAGCCAAATCTTCATCTTTGAAGGTTTCATCCATGCCCAATAAGTCTTCCACTAGCTCATTGAACGCAGTGATGTGTTCATTCATATTGGTGCCTGGTTGATAATCAAATCTGAACAATCTTTTCTTCATGTGGAGACGATTCTGAGAGCTTTTCTTCAGGAATTTTTCCTCCAAAGCTTTCCACATCTTACTTGCAGAAGTCTCGTTCTTGTAGCCATACTTCTGCTCCCTGGAAAGACAAGATTGAATCGTGCTGCACGCCAAACGATTGATTGTTCCCCATTCTTTCTCCTCCATATATTCGGGCTTTTTTTCTTCAATGACGATGTCTAGACCTTGTTGGAATAAAACGTCTAACACCTCGCCTTGCCACATGCCAAAATGACCGGATCCATCGAACAACTCCACCGAGAAATTTGCATTTGACATCACCCTCCTCACCGGTCCAGATGAAGAGCTTGATGTCTCAACTGATCCGTATTTTGGCATTTTAATTCTAACGAACAATATTCAATATCACGAACTGTATCTTTCAGCAACGGAACCACCAGGATAACCTCAACCGAAGCTCTGATACCAATTATTGGGGAAAACGGGTTATTTTCCACACGAACGTAGTTTTAAAATTGACCTAAAATGTCAAGATTAAAACCACCAAAGGTTGCACAGCGGATAAACATGTCAAACTATTGAATATTGAAATACAATGGAAAATAACCGAATAAAAAACAATAAAGGAGAGAACACACCAACTTTACGAGGTTCGAAGAGAATATCGTCTACTCCTCGGGCACCACACCAGATAATAACTTCACTATATCGCCAATATTACAACAAATGGAATTCTTTGGAATTCCCAAAGTGGGAGAATGAAGAATACAAGAGGAAGAGATAACTTATTTTTGGGATAATTTCTAATGGAAATACTTAGGCCTATTTATAGTTGAGTTTCAAGAACAATATGTTCAAAGTTTGACCACCTACCAAAGAATTTTCTAATGTGTACAAGTTAGCCACCAAATATGAAATTCACATATTCAAAGTTTGGCCACCAACCAATATGAAATTTTTAATAAGTTGGCCACCAACCAAGATGAAATTTCCAACTTGTCAACTTAATTTCTAGACAAATCTAACAACGGCAAGGCCAGACTCCAAAATAACAGGTTTAAGTATAATTAAGACTCAATTTGTATCTCTATTTAAATATCATAATCATAATTAGAGATGGTTAACATATTTTTAGATATTTTTTATTTTCTATTAAAAATATGTTTTCGTCATCTGAAATTTTATAAATTCGCATCCCTTAAAAATTTATAAATTTGTCCACTTAACATAAAATTCTGCATACATCCCTAATTATAATTAGTAATAAGATTTATATTTTGAAACCATAAATGACTCTGTATGGTATTAATGAAGCAGATGGTTAACATATGATTAATAATAAGAGAAAAGTACACAAATCCCTTTGATATTTTGGAAATTCTACTTATCTCTAATAGTTTAAAAAATGACTTTTATTCCCTTGAGATTTATTTATGATAACTTTATTATTATCCAATTTGTTTCCTTTCTTTCTGCCCTTTAATAAATTTACAGTTCCATTTAAAATAAATAAAATAAAATCATGCTGTGTAAACTGTAAAGGCCTCTTCTTCTTTATTTTCTTTTCGTTTCCTGTCATTTTCCAAAATAATAAGGGTAAACTATATCATGACCGCTTAACTATTACTTGATTTCATTTTAACCACCGATATTTTAATTTTATCAATCAGACTAACTATTTAGCTTTTGTCAATCAACCCACCAACCATTAACATTTAACATAAGAGTTGATATGATTGTTAAAAAAATTAATATAATTACACATTTAGTCCTCATTATTTACACATTCTATCAATTATTCATTATTATTCTACTTTGGAATTAATATGTTATGAATCCGATAACTAAGATAAACTATTTCCTCTTCAAATTTTAGATAATATAATAATCCCAACATGAAATATTTAGTTAAGATAATGAAATATACGTTGGGGAGAACTAATTATTTAATTAGAGGAGAAAGGAAGTATAAATTGTTCAATGTCAAAACTCAAAACCATGGGTGAGGGTTGGAACCGGGATTGTATCCAACCTTTTTTATTTTGGATCTAAGCATGTAACCTAAAGAAAATACCCATAAAATAATAACATAAATGAGTAGGAATATAGATTGTGATACCAGATCCCATGAACCCAACCCTCATGAGGATTTGGTCGGCTCACATTATATATCCCAACTTGTCCAAATAAACGACCCACCTTCTCTTTTTCCTCCAAGTTAGATACTACTCGATTCACTTCCTTGACCAGGTATTTCGAGGATACATTCATTCCCCAATTTGTCAACTCGGCATTAACATTTAATTTTATTATAATTACCTGGATGGTAATTTGGAACTTGTGGGAAAATAATTAATTTCAAGCCCCTGATTAACTTAGTAATTTTACATTTTTAAATTTTAAACTTTGTTCCCTCCATTACTTTTTTATTTAATATTCAATAAAAGCATGATCATTATATACACTGATAATTAGTGTATTAAAGATTAATGAATGAAAAGATAATAAATTCATCTTAACCCCACAATTGTTATTGTTTTAAACTTCTGATTTCAGTCTCGAAATTATCTACATTAGTCTATTCAATATCCAATTTGGTAATTCATATTCTTGAATTTATAATGAAATTAATGCAAGATTAATCTAAGAGCTAGCAGAAAGCATGAAGAAACAGAAGATTAAGCAAGATTTGAAGAAGGCAGCAGAAACGTCTGAGTAAGAAAACAGCAAAGAAAGTTTCGTTCATTTAATCTATTAAGTGACATCTGCAGTAAAAGAGAATGTTATTCTTTCTTGTGACGTCAGATTTGAATAGTCGCGTTTGCATATATATTATCAATGATTAAAAAATATTCTACCCAACTCAAAATATTTTAAAAAAATTTATATTTGATGCTAGTTTTTTTCCTTGGGTGTAGCACAAAATGGAAAGGACTGGTTAAACATTTCAAACTAGAAAAAGGACCAAGTTGGCGGACATTGTCTGGAAAATGAAAGGAAGAAAAGGACAAAAGAAATGAGTTATTGAACCCAAGGCCAACGGAATCATTTCCCTTTCAAAAGCTGTACCCGTAATTTAATGCTTCAGCTTTTAGCCTTTACAGGGCAGGGTAGTTGATTATTAGAGTTATTTATGGTAATAAAATAGATTTAAAAACTTAATATATACATATAAGAATCTATTATTTTTAAAATAATTTTCATTGTAAGAAATTAATTCAATATATTAAGCCGGTGAAAGCCATTTTTATTTTCTAATTATTAATTGATGTGGTGCTGAATCGATAGCTTACCTGCTTGCTTTATATATAATTATGTTCAAAAGTTGAATGACTTAATGTGTAGCCAATAACCTAGAAGGGTGATAAGAGGTCCAATTTCTTATTGAATTATGCATGCGAATGTGTAATCCATACCGACACACGTACACTAAATTCTATCACAAATTAGTTTGTATATATATATATATATATATATATATCTTCAGCTTCAACCTTACTCTATAACTATAATAATAATAATTGATTTACAATTAATAAAAAAAAGTAATTTTAGAAATGATAACAACTGGTATCCATAAATATACCTAATTAAACAAAGTCCAAAAGAGAAGCTGCAACTTGGTGATCCACTTGCAGCGTGATCTCTTCCTTTTCTTCCTGTTAAAACTCCAACTCTTCCCTAACAAATCCAAAATATATTTCAAGTATATCTGTTTATATATATACTCTTCTTTTGATTTTATAAATTCTCCTATAATATTCAACCTCTCGCAGCCATGCCATCTTCACTGCACCTCCATCCACCCCTTGCCGCCGCCATCGGCAGCAGCTGCCGCCACAAACAAACTCAACCTACCACGTTGACAAGGTTTTTCCCTCTTCCTAGCTGGATGTCGCTTCCCGACACGGTGGCAACATATCATATCCGCACCGTGGGGCCTAACCAGTGCTGTTCGGCAGTTGTTCAAACCATAAAAGGCCCTATCGAATCCGTTTGGTCCATAGTCCGTCGTTTTGATAACCCTCAAGCTTACAAGCAGTTCCTCAGGAGCTGCCAAGTTATCGTCGGAGATGGCGACGTTGGCTCCCTCCGTGAGGTCCACGTGGTGTCCGGCCTCCCTGCAGCTTCCAGCATGGAGAAGCTGGAGATCCTTGACGACGAACGCTATGTGCTTAGCTTTAGTGTAGTGGGAGGGGATCATCGCTTGACCAATTATAGGTCTGTCACGACTCTACATGGTACACCAGAGGGTAACGGGACAGTGGTCGTGGAATCGTACGTCGTCGATATTCCGGTAGGTAACAGTAGAGAAGATACGTGTATTTTTGTGGACACAATTGTACGCTGCAACCTTCAATCTTTGGCTCGAATGTCTGAAAATATGGCTAGAACAGAAACATTATCTTCCCCATAATTACTTCAAAACAAAAGGGGTTCTTGTGACGTTGAAGGTGATCGTATATTACAAGCTCCAAATATTAATTATGTCTTACTTTCTTTTCTGCATTGCTTCTTCACCATTTTTCTCCCTTATGTATACGACAAACATCTCTTACAATTATTAGCAACTTTAACAATTCCTTTTTAACTAACACATTTTTTAGAAAATAATTAATAATTAAAAGTATTTACGAAACATAATATACCATATATATATATATATGTGTATGACCCAAGTTAAATATTTTTTTCATTATAAAAGAGTAATAGACATGTGCAGCAAAATGGTCAAGACTGCAATTTGAAATGCAATGATAAGAATGCGATAAAATTTATATATTTCTATATGATGCATATGTGGTATATATATATATATATATATTAATAATTTTAGGTGATTTTAAGATAGTATTTATTTAAAAAAAATTAATTAATTAATAACGTATATACATATAGTAGATGTAATTGTTTAAACTTTCCACTGATGTCATAGGTTAATGTGGTATATATATTTTAAATAACTTATATTATATATAGCTTTATATATTATAAGTTAATATTAAATATTATTTTAATGCAATAAGACAAGTGTATTTTGATAAATAACGTGCTTTTTTTCTCCATCATAAGTACGTCATTTGATTAACCATGTATTAAGTATAAGCTCCCTTTTTAATTATGCTATAATTTTATATCGTGCCTTTATACTATTTCTGTTACATTAACTTCTGAAAGAATATATATAGAATTAACTAATTACTATTTTGTAAAACAAATATCTAATGATTATTGATTAGGCTTAAAGAGTATAAAATTCTTCCAAAAATAATTGAAAATTTTAAATAAGTTTCTAATCGAAAGTAATATTTTATTAAATTCTTTGAATTATAAATTTTAATTAATTATATTTTATTAATATCTTTAATAATTTGTTCAATGATGATGTATAGGTGACATGAAAAAAAATGATAATTGATGTATAAAATAATGACATATGAGAGACTCTTTTTTTTTTCTTCTTATTCTTATTAATTATATGGTTAAGTACAAGACAATATATGTTCAAATATAATTTTAAATCATTTGACATTAAACGTTCAAATCCTTAATATTCATGGTACTCGAACTTGAGACTTTAATGAATAACAACAATTCTTTTATTATCGAGATCGCTTTGTTCGTGCAATTTATTATTTTTTTATTATATTTCATGAAAACCCACACACTACATATTTATCTTTAAACATGATTTTAATAACATTTGGATGTCAAGTCCGGCTTGACAATGCAAGTTGATATAAATTTGTGTGTTTTAGGGAAGATGATGCAAGTTGGATTGCAACATGGCAGAGAGTTTTTTTTTTTTAAATAATCTAGAGTGATTATAATAATGATCGATGGACGAATTCATCGTGAAGATTCTCGAGCCATAAGATGTTGTGTTCTTGGGCCTGTTTACTGGGCTACCTAAAATCAGCATACTCCAATCTGTTGAGATATGAAGATAATTAATTTTGATTATAGTTATTTGTGCATTTGTTTATACATAATTACAATTGCGATTTTACTCCCAACTTTTATATATGTGTAAATGGTTAAAATATGTTCATAGTCTCTATGTTTTTTACATTTAAAATTTAATTTTCTTATTTTTTATTTTTGAAAATTTAATCTCTCTAATTTTGTATTTAAAAATTTAAATAAATTATTGATATCATTAAAGTTGTTATTAAATTTTATTAACGTAAAATTTAAAAAAAAACGTTACTAGTTTAACAATCATGTAAGAAAAATAACAATAGTATACTTGAATTTAATGAAAGAGTTTTATATGTTTATAAGTTAATCTTATTTTTTTTAAACTAATAATAGTCCTTAATTTTTGTTGTGTAAAAAGGAAATACAATAAAATTATAAACAGATTCTATAAAATTAAAATCAGTTAAATATTTAAAGTAAAAATAGATCAATAAAATAATCAAATTAATATTAATTAAAAAATTTATTAAATTTAACTTTGAATAGATGAAAAATACTATAAAAATAAATAAAATATATATTATAAGAGAAAACAGAATCATTATTTATTGATTTAATATAAAAAAGTCCAAATTATACTTTTTTATTTAAATGCTTAAATTGCTTTCTTTTAATACAAGTGTCTAATGTTGCAAATGTTATTGTTTTAAGTGCTTCGATTGTTAAAATTCTGTTAAGTGACACGTGTTGTATTTATATAATTTTAAAAGTTATATTTAAACAAAAAAAATTAAAAAAAATAGTATTATATTTAAAAACCCTAATCTCTCTAAAATTACTAAAAAAATCCTTAAATTCCTGAAATCAACATTAGAATTCCAAACCCAAATTTTACCATGTCTATTGTCACCCATGGCCACTGTCGGTGTCATTGTCTTTTTCATCTCCCTTATTGATCGTTGTTATTCTTTCTTCTAATTGGTCGTTGGGTGGAGGTACGATTAGATGGAGGTTCAATTTGATGACAAAGGTGACGACCAACATGGGTACAAGGATTGGAAATAGGGCTTTTAGAATTTTTTTGATTTTTTTTAAGATTTGAGAAAATTTAGAGTATTTCTAAAATAAATTTTTAATTTTTATAAATGCGACATTTATTACTTAACAAAATCTTTTAATGGTAGTTAAGGTCGAAACACTTAAAATGATATTGTTTATAACGTCAGACATTTAAATTAACCGAGAAAAAAGATTAGATACTTAAATTAAAAAATGATATAATTTATTTATTTTTCTTTGTATTAAGCCTGAATTATTTCTCTAAAAATAAGAAAATAAATTAAATGAAAAAATAACATAATTTATATATAAAACAAAAAACTTTTCTTAAAAAATTGACAAAATAGAAACAAAATCAATGATAACAATCCGTCTAAAATTGATAAAAGTATTTCAATAATGAAGTTAAAGGATAATTATTTATATAAGATAAAGTAAAATTTATTTCTAAACTAGAATCTTTGTTATATCACTTAATAAAAAGCATCAAAATTACACGATAATTTTTTTAAGTCACCAAAATTATACAAGGACTTTTCCATACAAATAAGGTAAAGGAACATTATTTTAATTAAAAGAATCATCTTGTAGTTCTAATGAATTTCAAAAGTAATAGTGTGATTTAAATAATTTTAATTTAAAACTTATAATATAAAATAATAATAAAAATAATTAAATTTAAATTTATGAAAATAAAAGAACTAAATATTAAATATTACCATAAATCCATAATAGCATATGGAAGTGGTCATATTTGAACCTTTATTATCTGATATATGGATATCAAGCTCGACTAACGAGCCAGCTCGCATGCATGCCACGCTCCACACCCAGCACCTCCTCACCTTGACCGTACACGTTCCATCCCTCTCCCCCTTCTTATTTCACTCTCTCCTTCCATCTTCCACTGTTTGCAAAACTCTGATTTCCCTTTTCTTCAAAAGCTTTGGTTTTTTTAGACATGTTGCTGAGAGCTGCACCAGCCTTTTCTTTGTCAAATCATCAAGTGGAAACTCAGGCCCCCCTGTTTTCCAATGTTTCTTTATCTCAAACGACATTTTCCCGTTATTTTTCTTCTTCGAGTCATCAGCTTTATTCTCCAAGAAATGGAACTGGGTCTGTCGTGGTTTGTGCCACCAAAGGGGCCAACCACAAGCCACTTAGCGGTGTCGTTTTTGAACCCTGTAAGGAAGTTAAGAAGGAGCTTGATCTTGTACCCACGTTGCCTCAAGTTTCTCTGGCTCGCCAAAAGTTCACTGATGACTGTGAGGCTTTAATCAACGAACAAATCAAGTGGGTTCTTTCTTCTTCTTCTTCTTTTAGTTTTTTAAAACCATCTCTGTATTTTGGAAAAAAATATATTTTCTAATGTTTTGTTATTTTATTTTGGCTTGACAGTGTCGAATACAATGTTTCCTATGTGTATCATTCTATGTTTGCCTACTTCGATAGGGACAACGTTGCACTCAAGGGTCTTGCCAAGTAATTCTCCTTGAAAACTTTTGAGTTTGCTCAGCAATATGGAACCCTCTTTTGGTGTTAAGCTAACTTCAAACTTTCCCCTGAATAGGTTGTTCAAGGAATTAAGTTTAGAAGAAAGAGAGCATGCTGAGAAATTTATGAAATACCAGGTTCTTTTATCTAAGGTGTTTTCTGCTTATTGTCGATATTCTTTTGTCTTTGCCATTGTTTTCCTATTTGGATTTTTTATTATTAATCAGAATAAACGAGGTGGAAAAGTGAAGCTGCAGTCCATATTGATGCCCCTCTCGGAGTTCGATCATGCAGAGAAAGCAGATGAATCGTATGGTAAGTTTATATTATTAGAGCTTGTCTTTGGTTTGGTAAAATGTGCTTCATTTCTTATTTGGTTGTCTTCTTCCTTCTAGCTTCAGGTACTATATATCCATATCAATGAGGTATAGATTCATATTTTAGCTATGGAAGTATGTTTGTAATTTTCTATGGTTGGTGTGTTCATATATCAACATGAACAACACGCAATGAGATATACATTCACTTATTAACTCCATGAAGCATCTTGAAATTTGTTCTGTGATCATCCCATTATCAATGTTGACTAGGATTGCATGATAATGTCATATTGTTCAAAAGTTGGAAAAAAAGTACTTTTGGTGTTGCATATTATATGCAATTGAAGCTGATTGTGTCTAATTCTTTGGTTCAGCAATGGAGCTCGCCTTATCTCTTGAGAAACTAACAAATGAAAAGCTCTTGGACCTGTACAGTGTAAGACTCTCCCTCTCTATCTATGTATATATATATATATATATTCTTTTCTATCTTGTTATCAGTTTCTAATTGTAAATTCTGATTTTAAAAATTCTAATAAGGTATATGGCTTCATTAATTAGGTTTATGAAATCATTGGATAAAACAATGTTCAAGAGATGCATGTTTCTAAAATGATAGGAAAACAGTTTTCTTTGAACTAATAAGTGAAGGCTTTGGTAAACAGGTAGCTGTGAGGAACCATGATGTGCAGTTGACAGAATTCATTCAAAGCGAGTACTTAGTCGAGCAGGTATAATAAAATTTGGTTTTACTGATGAATGCTGAAATCAGGGTTTTAATGCTGTCTTGGTTTCTCATTAAAGGTGGAGGCCATCAAAAAAATATCAGAATATGTGGCTCAGTTAAGAAGAGTTGGAAAAGGACATGGTATGAGTCTATAAAGTCTTTTCATTTTTCTGAAAAGTGATAACTTTAACTGCATGATTTGTTCTTGTTCATCTAATGTGGTGGATATTTAGGGGTGTGGCACTTTGATCAGATGCTTCTTCATGAGGGAGAGGAAGCTGCTATTGCATGAGCCGCTTCAGTCCTTATCAGAAGTTGTTTGTTTAAGTAGATTTGGGTTGTATGAGCAGTTCTTAAGAGTTATATCAAAGTAGATTCATGGATGTCCTGTGTAGGTCCTGCTGCATCCCACAGTATCCCGCCTTTTGCTGGGGGATGAAAATGAAGTTGTAAGTATGAAACTTGGATTTCTCTTTTGAATTTAGCACAAGGTCTGTTGAAAAATTAAACTCATCAGTTTTATCTTTAAGAAATTTATATTTTAATTCTAATAATTATAAACACCTACTTTCTTATCTATTTAATGAAAAAATATGTCAATTTATTTGTCCGATATTATAAAGAAAATGGAGATGCAGGGTATCGTTTCCCGTACCTATCGCATGCTTAGCGAGCGTTCTATCACCTGAGCTACATCCCCTGTTGCAATACGCATGTCGTGTTAACATTTTCAACTATAACAAAAACATAAAGCAAATTGTTTGAAACACTTCACTACATACTACAAAAAGACAACCAATGAGCAGCAGCAGCTGCTATTGGAACTTGGAAGTGGAAGACAGAAGCCCTTGGCCTCTTCTTGTCTTATGTTATCTGCTCTACTGGCCAACTATGTATCGTTTCTCTTTTTATATCCCTTGTGTTGCCTAATAAGCCCTGGAAACTAAACAGAAGCTTTAGAGTCTGAAAGACTTGCTTGTACCAAGCTCTGGTGGCTCACTCAATGGCGTTGGGTTTTAACAGCATCGAATCCTTCCTAAAATTAGAATCTATCCTGCTTTAACTTCAAATTCAAGAAAAAATGTTTTAAAGATTAGAACAACTTCGGTCAGGTTCTGAAGCTAATGGTTTCAGATTTATGGTAGAGGACTAGGAGGGCTTACAAACACGATCGTGATGTTGGAATTCATGTTATATAATAAATCATCTTCTTCCCACAAATCCCTCTCTTATCACTTGATATGTTGCTTTCATAGTTTGAAACCACTGACCGAGCATGGTGTTGTGAGGCGGAAGATGATCATTATGCCAAAGTGTAAACGTGGAAAGAAAATTTGCATTAACCTTTTTGTCACATTCAACCTTCATAAAAATAATAATAATTGTACAAGGAAAACCTAAAACAATCATAATAGTAAACAAATCGCCTCTAAGGAAGCTAACTAGGGGCGCACGATAGCGGGTTTTCTCTGGGTGCACGTTAGCTGGTTTAACGTTTATGTGTTCTCCTTTTGTGGCTCCGGTTGTTCATCTGTCCTTCTGGTCATCTCGGCGTTCTTTCTCCCAACTTATTTTCCTTGATCGAAGTCTGTATCCATGGATTGGAGAAAGTTGTTTGAAATTTCAAAAGGGCACGACCTAGATTTTTATCCCCCAAATATTCGAGATGGGTCTCCGGTGGTTCAGCCTCCGCCTGAGGTGAGGTTTTTGAAGATGGAATAGCGGAGCGGAATCTTTCCTTATTGGGGAAATTCCTCGGGCCTCCTCCGAATTACGCCTCAATGCAGAGAATCATCGATTCAATGTGGAAAAAAGCTTTAAACGGTAGCCATGTTCAAATCAGAAAAGCAGGTAACAACCTCTTCATCTTTTCTTTTAGTTCGAATGCTTCCAGAGAATGGGTATTAGAACATGGACCTTGGCATATCTACAATAAACCACTGATTCTTAGAAGTTGAGAACCTAATCTGAAAAAACTAAACTTTGACCTATCTAGAATTCCAGTTTGGGTTCACTTTTACAATGTGCCTTTAGAACTTTATTCTCGAGTTGGCCTTAGTCATATTGCTAGTGCCATTGGAGTCCCACTCTCCATGGACTCTGTCACTGCTACCAAAACCATATTAGAATTTGCAAAAATCTGCATTGAAATTGGGCCAAATGATAAACTACCTGAATATGTAGAGGTTGTCTTAAACGATGGGTCTGTTACTTCAGTATTTGTTGAGATTTCTTGGTTACCACCAAGTTATAGGAGATGTAAAGTGTTTGGGCACTCTAAGAAAGGCCGTAAAGATCAAAAACAGTCTGGCAGACTAATACCCAAGTATGGAAAAAGAAAGAAACCCTACAAACTACTAATGCTATAGAGCCTTCAGTAGGAGGAATTGAAATGCTTCAGGATAATTTACCTATTGTTAGCAACATCAACAATGAGCTCAACTCAAATGAAGTTAGTACTGACTCTAACAACATCAATAATTCCAGTGTTAATCATGATTCTGTTGATAAAATAGCTACTCCGGTCCCTGGCCCAACTGTTCCTTCAGTAGAGGTTACTAACTCTGAACCTCCTTTGGGTAGAGGAAGACCTACAAGGGACAAATCGAAATATGTTATTGCTGGATCAAAAAACAGGTTTGAAATCCTGTCCACTGTTGAAGATTCACCTCCTGTTCTGATTAATGTTCAACCTAAGAAAAGAGCAGCCTCTAAAGGTGTTGCTATTCTTGTGAATGAACTAAAAATCAAAAAGAATGATTGTTTAGAGAAAGTTAAAAATACTGAAGTAGGAGTTAGTGTGACTGCTACTTCCACTCATTCTCAATGATTATGGGATTTTGGAATATGAGAGGACTCAATAGTCCTCTCAAACAAAATGGTGTTCTTAAGATAGCTAGTCTTACAAAGGTTGATGTTTTCTGCCTCTTGGAAATCAGAGTTAAATCTAGTAATGCTACTTTTATTCTTAATTCTAAGTTTGAGCACTGGAATGTTTGTACTAACTACAATTTTGCTGAGAATGGGAGGATTTGGATATTCTGGAAGAAAGGCATTAATTTCTCTGTTCTCCATACGTCTGATCAGTGTATAACCATTAAAGGTCATTATCTTGGTACTCCTCTGATCATCACTGCAATATATGGCAGTAATGAAGATGTTTTGAGAAGACTACTATGGCAACAACTCCATGATGTGAACAGTCAGCATGGTAATATTCCGTGGATTTTGGGAGGAGATTTTAATGTTATACTCAATTCGAATGAAAGCTCTAATTCAGCTATGTTGGGTCCTTTTCTTACCTATGACATGAAGGAGTTCCAAGATGCCCTGTTTGACTTGGAATTACTTGACCACCCTTACTATGGCCCTACTTTCACTTGGAGCAACAAGCAACAAGAATCATTTCTAGCAAAAAAACTTGATAGGGTTTTAGTTAATCCTCTCTGGTTCACTGCTTTTCCTAAGTCCCATGTGGAATTCCTTGCTCCTGGAATTTCCGACCATTGTTTGGTTATCTAAAGAGGTCCATGTTGATCATCCCAAGCCTTTCAAATTTTTTAACTTCTGGGCCCATCACTCTGAATTCCTAAATATTGTTAGTCAATCTTGGCAATCTTCTTCTCAGGGCAACCCTATGCAGCAGCTATTCTCCAAACTTAAGCGCTTAAAAACCAATTTGAAAGCCCTTAATCAGAACCATTATAGCAACATTTATGCTCGTGTAAACCAAAATAAACTGGAGCTTGAGCAACAACAGATCAAATCTTTAAACTTCGCTGATTCTTTCCAAAAGGAATACCAATTGCAAAATGAGCTTCATCTTCTTCAAGAAGCCGAGAACATGTTTTTACGACAGAAAGCTAAGACTCAATGGATTAATCAAGGTGATAAATGTACTAAATTTTTTCACTCTGTGGTTGCTACTAAAACCAAGAGAGACATTATTCGAGTGCTTATTGATGACCAAGGTAGAAGATTAGAAACTTATGATGATATGTCTGCAGAAGTGTTACGGTTCTTTACAAATCTGATTGGGACTCCTTCTGAGGTTAAAGCTTGCAGCCATAACACTTTAAAAGAACTGCTTCCTTACTCTTTGCCTTTGGATAACTCTATTGATCTTGTTAAAGAGCTCACTAGAGACGAGATTAAAGAAGCAGTTTTTTCTCAAGGCAACGACAAAGCACCTGGTCTTGACGGCTACACTCCGTATTTCTTCAAGAAAGCTTGGCTTATTATTGGAGATGATGTGGTGGCAGCTATTACTCACTTCTTTAGAAATCCTTATTTGCAGTCTGCTGCTTTTAATGCCACTAGTATTACTTTGGTGCCTAAAATTCCTAATCCAAGTAAGGTGAAAGATTTTAGGCCTATCTCTTGTTGTTCGGTTGTCTATAAGACTGTTTCTAAAATCTTGGTCAAACGCTTGACCCCTCTGCTTCCTGAAATTATTTCTTTTAACCAAACAACTTTTGTTAAAGGGAGGAACATAGTAAACAACACACTTCTTGCACAAGAGCTTGTCAAAGGCTATGGCAGGATGACTTTATCCCCAGGATGCTCTATTAAAATTGATCTCCATAAAGCTTTTGATTCTTTGCATTGGGACTTTATCACTTCTTCTCTCATTGTTATTGGTCTTCCTACCACTTTTATAAAATGGGTTGAAGCTTGCTTCACTATTGCTTGTTACTCTATATCATTCAATGGAAGTCTCATTAGGTTCTTCAAAGGTGCTAGAGGATTAAGACAGGGTGACCCTATCTCACCTCTTCTTTTTGTACTTTCTATGAATGTCCTTTCTAGTATTCTTAACAAGGCTGCTACAAGAGGTATTTTTGGCTTCCACCCTAGATGTAAAAAATAGGGTTAACTCATCTTACCTTTAACGATGACTTGCTTATATTTTGTCGAGGGAATGTGGAATCTGTTGTGGGGGTAATAAGTGTTCTTGATCACTTCTATGAAATCTCAGGCCTAAAACTTAATGCTCATAAATGTGAATTTTTCACTGCTGGACTTTCCTATAGGATAATCGATGAAATCAAGCTGATTATTGGTTTTAATCATGGTTGTTTACCTGTCAGATATTTGGGTGTTCCACTTGTTTCTAGGAAACTTTCGGAGAAAGACTGTGTAGCTCCAATTGAAAATATTAGAGACCGTCTCCAAAAATGGTCCAGAAGACATTTGAGTTACGCTGGTAGACTTGAGCTCATTAAAATTGTTCTGCAAAGTATTACTAATTTCTAGTGTAGACAGCTTTTCCTTCCTCAATCTGTTCTTAATCGTATTGAGCAGTTATGTTCAATGTTCTTTTGGAAAGGTTATGACAAAGCTGCTACAGGTGCAAGAATTCGATGGGAAAAGTTGTGCCTCCCTAAATCTGAAGGGGGTCTTGGTCTAAAAGACATAAAATCTTGGAATAAATCTTGCATGCTGCACTTGATCAAGAAAATCCTTTTGGGTGATGGTTCGTTGTGGATTGCTTGGATTAATAATTATGTTATCAAGAATTCTGATTTTTGGACCATGGAGGCTAGAATCAATACAAGCTGGAGTTTCCGTAAACTGCTAAGGATGAGGAATCAAGCTGCTTCTGCTTTTGCTACTGGAATACATTCAATTAAAGACATATGGAATCACATTCGTAACAAGAAGGAGAAGGTTGCTTGGCAAAAGCTATTTTGGTTCCCTCTCCATGTGCCTAAGTATAGTATTATTACTTAGATGGCTTTCCTTGACAGATTACCAACCAAAGATAGGTTGATTCGAATGGGGCTCAACTTTGATGGTACTTGTGTGCTTTGAAACGAGGCTATGGAAACTAGGGATCACTTATTTCTCCAATGTTCTTTTGCAAATTCGGTATGGAGCTCTATTTTGAACCTTAATGGCATTTGCAGAGGATCTTGTTTGTGGAGTACTCACATTTCGTGGGCTTGCGCTACCTAGAAAGGAAATTCATTTCTAACTACCATCATGAAGCTTGCTTGGACTACTTTTATCTACACTATCTGGGAGGAGAGGAATAAAAGAATCTACCAAGGACGTTCAAGAAATGTTAATGCCTTACTACTAGCTATTAAAGATTATGTTGTTATTCAACTTAGGGGTAGGGAAATTAATAGAAATGACCATGTCAATAGTTTTCTTTGTATTCAATGGGGCATTGAACGTTGATGTCTTGTTCTGTTGTATATTGTTGTGTAAGTACTGATTTTTGTAAAAACATGTTGTATTTTTGACCTCTTTGGATATAAAATTTGATTTATCCAAAAAAAATAATAATAATTGAATATGGTACAATCCATCAGAATCTTTCAGGGTGGGGTTTTGCAAGATATTTGAAAGCTACTGCAATTTCATCTAAAAGATTCACCCCTCTTTCAGATATTTGTAGAACATGGTACATGAATTACAAGATAAATGTAAGAATTGGTTACTTAATACAATATCTAAAAACACCCATAGGAAATCAAACCAAGCAAAAAAAAAGGTCATTTTCACCAACACTTCACTGCAGATTTGATTATACACGACCAAGCTACCTGGAACTGGAAGATGAGAAGATGCCCCAAAAAACCATGGGATTATGAAGCTAAGCATGCTTATAATGCTTATATTAATTGATAATAATTCTGGGGGGAGCACAAACACCTAGTCCTAGTGTGTGCTCCTCGGAAGGGAGGCCCTCATAGGGGACAAGTTTCACCACAGTGCGAGCGTTGAGGTTGTGCTTTTTCTCAACTTCTGCAAATCCCTTGTTAAGAACTTGTTCCACCCAATCACTCAACGCCCTTTTCTCATCGGATAAATATGCAACTGCTACTAGTTGTTCCATAGCTTCTGACTCTATCACTAACAAACACTCTGCGCCTATTGACTTGCGGAAACTCTGGTTTATGTTGTCACGTACTTCCTCCGCAAGTGCATCAAAATCAAATGACTTGAATACCACGTTCTTGATAGATTGATCAAAGAAATCCTGCAACCAATGCATGGCGCTCTCATTGACACAGTCACAATCAACAGTTGCATCATCAGTATCCTGCAATTCACTTTCTTCAGCCGGAATGTTCAAATCTAGATTCAAAGATGATGTTCGGTTAGCCCTCTTGGTAATTTCCATCATCTCATGCTGCTCCAGAGTTTCATGGGAGCCGATCAGCTTTCTTTTATTCAACAGCCCCAGCTTAGAGATGCTATTTCTTTTTGCAATTATGTTGTCATCATATTTGATCACTATCTGCAGTGGCCTACCCTTGGCTCTCAATATTTTCTCTTCAGAATAGTCAGATGTTTGTTGTTTGTGACAAACAACTCGATTTTCCTTGGTTAATGTTGAAGTCGTCACGAATATCGCATTGCTGGTGCCGACTTCTCTTCCATGTGAGTCCGGAAACTTGCCAGTTCGGATAGCTCGGGACAACCAGCTCTGAACCTGAATATCAGCTCGATCTACATTTTCAAGGAAAACAACAGACAAAGGCTTTTTGCTCAACTCTTCGGCAATATAGTCAACCACAGTCTTCCCTCGGAACCTTGAATCATAATTCACTTGCTGGGAATTGAAGAGAAACTGCATACCCATCACCACCCCATCTTGGGAACTTAGATCTACGTAGGTGAATTTTTCTCTGCTTCCATATATTATGTCTGCAAGTGTAACAGCAATTTTCTTTTTTGCACATCTATCAGGTCCAGAGAAATTCAACCATATATCACCTCTTCGACTGGCTCCGTGACATTTTTCGTTTCGTGCACGGCAATTAGCTACTGTTTGGCAAATAACACTTACAGCTTCAGGTTGCCATCCAACTCTTTCGGTGACAGCTTTAAAAAGCGTCTTGAAATTGCTTACGTTAAGTTTTCCACCCAAGTCAGGAGAGAAAGAGGATGAGGACTGAGATTGATGGCTGGAGACAGTCCCATTAATAGCATCAACATTTGCAGGAAGTAAACCCGGATGGTTTCGATTTGTAGGTTTCATCACTGTCTTGCTTGAGGAAACCGGGCATAAACCTAACCCTAAATCAGTTGTCACAGATGTAGGTGATGCTTGACTAGCATCAACAACACTTGAATTGGAAAAACAGTCAGTTGCTTCGAAAACACATCCTTTGGAAGGTTTTTCCCCTAGTTTGGGCAGGAAAGTTCCATTTTCAGTCCTGGATACTCCAGAGGAAGGATCGTTTGATGGTGACGTAGACATCGTTTTAAAATCAAGAGGCAAGCATGTAGTTGAATTTATGCAATGATTTTCACCATCCGGTGCATTTCCGTTGTCGCTACTATGACCACGAGCATTTTCCTTCTTGTCTTGGATGAAATGAAAGCCCGGAACAGTTGACAATGGATGATTTTCTGGAGAAGTGTTTGACTCCGGGCCTGGATGAGTATGATGAAGGCGCTGGCAAATATTGTCCCACTTCTTTTGCAGTCCTGCTACCATGGTGTTTAATAACTGCCCATCTTTGGCCTGCACTGAAGATAGACAAACTTGTTCACATAAATTTCATAAATTATTCGAAATAAACCGAATAAAAATTATGTTTAGAGTGCACCCGTATCATACCATCAACGGGCTGTGAGTGCAAGTGAATGATCCCCAGTGCAAATACTAGCGCAAAACAAGCACTTGAAGCATAAACTAAGGGATACACACCTTCAAGTCTAATCCCTTGTTTGCTCCAACCTCTGTCATCTGCAACCAAGAAGGCAAAGTAGATCGACACTGATCTGCCACGGAAACGTTGAATCGTCCCTTTGAAATTGCGATTACTTCTTGTTCACACCTCTCGTTGCATAGATGACAGCGGGGTACATGTTGATATGAGGTGCTCAAGGACCCCTTTGACTCAGAAGGTGCAGCAAAGAACCCACCAAATGGAACAAATGACTCCATCAAGCTGTAGTTACATAAATCATGAGATCGAGTCGGATTCAATAGGAAGATGGTAAGAAGACGTTACACAAGGAAACCGAAGAAATCAAATAAATGGTGATGCTGCATAAGAACAAAAAGAATGAAAACAATATCATATACCTGGACTTGGGGTAAGACTGAGGCAATGACTTCTTAACAGAAGTGATAGGCAAAATCTGCAAATCCCAATCTTTTTCAACTGAAGGAAACCTGCTTAAGAATTTCAAATATGTCTGATAACTCGTTGCAGCTCCCAACAGCCAGATTTTCCCTCCATAAACTTGTAATAACCTCGTTAACTGTCCAACCGCATAACTAAGGCCATCTTCTTGATCGACAACGCTGTCATCGTTCTTGTCTTCATCTTTTTTACTGACAAAATTTTCCAAATCCCCATAGTTCACCACCACCCCAGATCCGGATCCTTCCATTTCCCGACCCATTTCTTCGAATTTTGAATCCATCTCCCCTTTATCAAAACCTTCATTAACGCACTTCAACATCAAATTTCGGATGCAAATTATGTTTAACCTCGTTATTTTCTTAGACAAAAATCCATCCTTTTTTTCCTCCAATGATTCCGTGAATTTCGCGAGTGCATCGTTTGCACATGCACCAACAAGTAGCGGATTCCCCCTTCGCGCCAAAACTTCTCCTATTCTCCTACAGCTTTCTTCTCCTTCATAAAACGATGCAAAACCCGGGAACGGGAAACTGAAGCCCCGATGTCCTGGGATCCGGGTGTTTCCATGACCCGAATCCGAATTTTCAAGATTGCAAAGGAAAACCGGTGGGCCACGTGGTCGGGAGTATCTTAAGAGACTAGGGAGGGGGCGGATGACTGCCAGTTTGATCTCTGAGCTCCGGAAACCCGCCTCGCCGAAGACCCGACTAACAACTGGGTCATCGAGTATGGATAAAATCAAGTGTCGGAGCTCCACTTTGACACATGAGATATTATTGGAAGGATTTTGCTGCGACATATCGCGATAAAGGTAGAAATTTTCGGGCTGTCTTCTCTGGTTCGCCTGTGACCGCTTTACAGCGGCCATGAGCGAGTTGGAGACGGGCGGGTCGTTGCTGAGTTGACTCGAGGGGACTCGGTCCAGTGACACGCTAAGGCAAAGCTCCAACGCTTTGAATTGGAGGCGAGGAGAGTAAGCCGCGTTACGGGCACGATCGCAGGCGTCGCGTAGTGGGGATGAAGGGAGAGAAAGAAGAGCGGAAATGGCATGGAGCGACGTCGTTTGCGCGTGTCCCCTCCGTCGTGCGACTCTCACCGCCTCGTCTAACGCGTGAGCTGCCTCTGGCGTTAAGCATTGCCGCGCTATACTTACCGGCGTAGGCATCGCCGGCTATCATAAAAACAAAAAAAAGAACACTTATTTTATTCAAAAACTTTTTTCTTTTTAAAGTTAAAACCAATAAATATATATATATATATATATGTGTGTGTATGATTGTTTAGCAGGATTGCAATTTGCAAGAGAGTGAGTTTTATAAAAAGAAAAAGGTCCCTTTTATGGAGGACAATACATACATACATACATATAAATGTACTACGAGTATTTTTTGGACAAGTAAATGTACTAATTATTTAGGTTAAATTAATGCAATGGTCACTTTTATTTTACAAGTATCCAATTTTGCACATTGAATTAAAAAAAATCTCATGGAACTAAAAAAAAATATTTTGATTATTTATGTTAATGTTTTATAACGTTTTAGTTATTGAAATGTTAAATGTCGTTCATTTTAAATTGGTATTTTATCTAATGTTTTATAACGTTTTAGTTATTGAAACGTTAAATGTCATTAATTTTAAATTGGTATTTTATATAAACCTTAAAGATAAAATTGATGTTTATCTAAAATTTAGAGGTTAAATTACTATTTCATTTAAATTTAAAGGGTCAAATTAAAATTATCCCTTTTATTAATGGCCAAAACATAACTTTTAAAAATTTGATGAGCAAAAATGAACATATTAAACGAAAGTGACCAACTGTAGTTTACCCAATTATTTATTACGGAATCATGTCTTATGTCTTGTGCAATGTTAAAGAAACGGGAGAACTGTTGCCTGTCTAAGTCGGGGGTTAATGGGGTCCACTGTTGATAGATCATTTGGAAAACAACAGGTAGTGAATACAGATTCTCTTCTCTAATATAAATTAAACAAAAAACTATATTTGTAGTCGTTTAACTTTTTATGTATTTTTGTTTTGATGCTAAACTTTTAAATTCATTTTTTTAAGTCACGTTTCTCGTACTTTTTTATTTATAAAATTAACTTAATATTTTAGTTTTTTGTTTTCTTTAATCGGTATTCTTTTCTAATATTGTCGTTGATAGTCAGAATATAACTAGAATCTAAGTTTTTTTTTATTCCCTCATTCTTCTTCTAATTTGATTATTTTTAAGATTTCTTCAAATTTGATATAACTTAAATTAAAATTTCAACTTTATCTTATTTAAATTTGCAATATCCACTATTTAATCAACATGAAATCAATATATATATATATATCATCTTTCTTGACTTTCTTATTGTTCGAATTTGAAAGAAAATATTTCAAACGATAGTAAATCAACGAGAATTTCAAAATTTAGGTTTGAGACATTTGAGGAAGAAAAGTTTTTAGGGGCTTTTGCATAAAATTATCAGCAACAAAATTTGTGCATGATTTTTAAGCGGTTAAAGATTTAATTGTTGAGTGACTTAAAAAATAAAATTTGAAAGTCTGGCTATCAAAAAAATTACAATTTGGTGACTAAAACAAAAATATGTTACTAATTGGGTGACTAAAGAGATAATTTACCCTAAAAATTATGTTAGTGTGTATAATAATAAATTAATAGATTTTTGAAATAAAAATATTAGTAAACTTTTTGTGATGTTGTAGTAATCAACAATTTGATTTTATTTTTATTTTTATATTTAAATTTTTTTAAAATAATTAATAGTTAAATGTTTTCTATATCACAAAGTTATTTATTTTTAAATATTTTAATATTTGTTGGTACATAAATTTCAATACAAACTACATGTTAATTTTTTTTTGTTATGATTTAAAAAGTAAAATTGAATAAAATGACAAAATTAGTTAAAAAGATGTGGTATCACCAACAATCGGTTGATATCATATGATGAAATATTAGATTTCTTAAATTATATTAGAGGTTCGAACACTGTGTTTATGAATAAAGCAAACTAAGTTGGGAGGATTGCCCCATAACAAATCTCTACAAAATTTGATATAGATTAATCAGTTAATTATTTTACATTGTATAATTGGGCCCATAAATAATTTTACATTTCATTATTCAAACATCTCTGATACATCCTACATTCCTATTTAAAACTTTGTCAATAATGCTCATGTTGTCTCATCTTGTGTGTGCGCGTTGGCAAAAACTAATTTTTTCTAAACAAATATCACTTTATAATCACATCTAGCGACAGAGCCATGATTATACTTCAAGGAGCAAAGTATAATTAACAATAAAAAATAAAAATGACAAAATCAAAATAATTTAAAACTTGAAGATCTAAATAAGTTTTTATCTCTATATATTTTTTAATAAAAGAAAATTTCTGGGACAATGATCCCCAGTGACTACTTATTGTTCTGTCCCATATCACATCAGAATATTTTTTTTTTTTAAAATTAGGTTTATCATACATTTGGTATTTAAATTTGGTTCTTTCTTTCAAATTGATAATAAAATTATATTATAAACTTAATATTTGAACTAGATTAATAAAAATGTGTCACGACACATAAATTTCTTTCTTATTCAGTCAATTGCACCATCTTCTTCTTCCGCTCATTTTCCCTTTTTATATATATATATTAAAAAAACAATTAAAGCAAGACAAGAGAAGACCAATTCAATCGGTCTACAAAATCATCATTGTGTTTCTTATCGTCAACTTAAACCTTCACCATTCGACCAATTCCAAACCAAATTCGAGAATTCAAAACCCTGAATTATAACAAACCACGTCTCCAAAACCCCCATTCACCCATTTTTATCGCCATCTTCACTAGTAACCATCTTCCTCCCATCATTTATTGGCTAGATCAACCTCATCTTTAGCCCTTCATCTATATAATCCATGACTAGATCCATATCTACAAACAGGGGTGTAAATAAATATAATGTTCGATGAATTGTTCGTGAACAATTTGTATACTATCCGTTATTAAGCAAAATAATTGAGAGTGAACAAAATTTTTATTTTCATTTAATAAATGAACAATCACGAACAATTTGTTTACGTTCACAAACAAAAATATTTAAAAATGTATTTGAATATGATAATCAAAATCTTGTGAATTGATTAAATTATTTTATTTTTGTTAAATTTAATAATTAAATTGTTTAATTAATGAAATTGGATTTTTTTTACCAAAAATATAAATTTAGTAAATAAAATATGACTATACAGGAAAAGGACTAAATTGAATTAAATGGATAACCTAAGAAATTAAAGAACTAATAGAATAGTTAAAAGCATATGAATGAGTCGCACACTTTTTTTAATAACGTCTAAATCAATTAAGCTAAATTTTAAATTAAAAAATAGATTTTGGAATAAAATATTGAAAAATAAATGGAAAAGAGTGGAATTTGAAGAAATAAAGAGGAGTAATGAAATGAAATGTTTGTATAGGTAAATAAGTCGGAGAAGAAAAGAGGTGAGGTGGGGTTTGATTAAATTGTAAAAAAGTTGATAGTGATGGGTGGGGAAAGGGAATAACCCCACACCCACCACCACAAACATATCATCACTTTGGAATATATAATTTCACTTACATCATTTGTCGTTTCCCCAATGGGGCTGTGCTAAATTTTTAATTATATAATTGATTTTTTATAATTATTAATATGATATCAGTTTAAAAACTCTCAATTATTTAAAAATAAACGTTTATATTCTTACATACACGATGTTTGAATCTGAAATCTTAAGAGATAATAATAATCTCTTAATCACCGAAGTCACTTTTTTTCATGCATATATATTATTGATTTGGATATGTATTTGATACATATAAAAAATATAGATAATAAAATGAAAAACTAGATAAACTAAATATATATATGTTGAGTTTATGTATGAAACAAACATATAAAGATTATTTTTAGAATGAATGTATTAGGGTGAATAAATGTTATTTTGTAATTACCTTCAATTATTCAAAAGAAAAATTACTCTTAAAATTTTCAATTGGATTAATTTGATAGGTTTTGATGGGATTTAATCTTTTAAAAATTTTCATATTTGTACTTAATCAATTTTAACTTTGCATTATTTTAATCAATTAGTTAAACATATCTTTAATGAAATACCTTAATATTTATCTAAATTTTAATGATATAACAATCTAATTTTTATAATTAATTAATAAAATAAATTGATAATAATTTTTAAAATATAATGACACATTTATCAAAATACTAACTATAAAGTGACATGTAATATTGGGGTGTCTCCATCAAAGCGTCGTATTGTTTCGTCCTTCTTTCTCACGACTATGAAACAGAATCAAACTGTGAGGAAAAAGTGTTTGATTTGATGTCTGAGTTTATATGCTCCTTTACATAACCGTTTTCAATTTCCTTTTTCTTCACGCTCAATCTAATAAATCAAAATTCACTAATTAAAATCCGGCGGAAAAAAAGATTTTAAAAAATATATGAATTAAAAAATTAATTTAATTTAAGATATAAATCAATATTTAAAATTTATCATGTAAATATGATGAATTCTCTATAATTTTCATCAAACTCACACATAAATTTCAAGATTTAATGATATACCGGAGAGGGAGGGTAATTAAGGAAGGAATTAAGTCATGTACTTGAAAGCCCTGAACCCTAAACAAAGTAAAAAAGCTTTTTCTACTGCCCTATTAAATTATTCAATAAAACCTACACATTCAAGTTCACAAACATCAGTAATAACAAGGCATTTATAGTAAGTAAACGCTTGGCAGAGTACACACAAACTTTTATCTACTATAAATAGGTTGGGGTAGGGCCAAATTAAGACAAATTTTCATTTCCCCCCTCTTCAAAGGGAAAGGGCTAGTAAATTAAGGTTGCGTAAGGACCTTTTTCCAATGATGAAAAAAGTAAATTTACTATTTTAAGAAGGTCAAAATATAGTTTTAGAATTATATTATTTTATACAAATAATACAATTTAAAAGATATTAAAACACGAAATTACCATTTAGGGGCCAAGACACTGTCTCTACGTAATACAATATTATGGTGAGTAAGTTAAAATAAAAGAGTGTTGGAAGCGTAAAATGAGTGGATTGGCGGTGATGGTAGTGTCGTTTTTGCATATATTTTGGGTATGTCTAAACACTATGGT